CGACAACAGTGAGGCGGAGATTAACGGCGGGTAGGGCCAAGGAATATGTATTTGAGGTGTTCAGGTAATTTCTTCAGCTCATCCTTTATGTTGGTGTCGCTGGCTGGTTCTTTCGTCGCTCGTTCAATGGATTCAGTGAGCGCAGGCGTGTCATCGCTTGCCTCTGTTGAATCCTTTGCAGCTTCCAGCTTAAGCAACCCGTTATCTGAAATTCCTTCCAGATTTTCAAGTGTAATAAAGCTCTCAAAAGTTGTTATTTCATTTAACTCATTGATAAAATCACAATTTTCTTCCTGAGGTTGACGCAATGTTGAGTTCATGGAAAATGTGACTTTATCTCCACCGAAGCTTAATGAGATTTCGCCTTCAGCGACATTGATTGTGGCTTGAGCGGTGGCAAGGGAGTGCCCGCTTTCGGTTGATTATATCTTTGATAAACTTAACGTAATGTGGCATCTATGACAAAGCATCAGCAAACGGTATAGTAATTTGAAGACTACGAAAAGTGTGCACAAACTTATCAAATTCCTTGGAGTTGTCCTTCTTCCCAAGTCGTGTAGGAAAGGGGCTCGAGCCAAAGGCTGAGCGGGACCCTTTTCCTTCGGTTCAGGCTCCCAAGCGCCTGGTATCGCTCGAGGTTGGGATGGACCTTCCTCCCTAGTCGGAATCTGTATAACTTCATCCTGCACAGGCACGTTAGCAACAATAGGGTTAAGAGAATGATTAATACCTTTGTCTGGCAGCGGTGGTGACTGTGTCCACTTCCCTCCCCTTGTTTCGATGGCCTTTGCTTGGTTCGGGACAGTCGAGACTGTTCGACTGTCCCATGCAACGTTCCTTTCTGCTTTAGCTTCATAGCTTCAGCTATCTGCCCGACTTGTATTTCTAGCATTTTGATCGAGGCAGAAGTATTCCTTTGGAATTCCTTATTTGCTCGCTCTGTGTTCCTCCAGAGCTCCTCCAGATTCAGCGGTGCTTGGCCCGCTGTGGGAGGTTGAGCGAATGCAGGTACCTGCTGCGGAAAGTGGGGGGCTTGAAAGTATTGTTGTTGATGTTGATAATATCCCCTTTGATGATATTGTTGCGCAGCGAACTGTTGTGGCCTCTAAAATTGTTGCTGAGGACGCGGTCCAGTGGGGCCTTGAGCCTGCCCCTTTTGGAATTGCTGGAATTGAGGGGCATTTCTGCCAGCCATATAGTAGACCTCCACTGGGTTCTGAGCCTCTTCAGTCGAGCACTCAGCAACCTGCGGACCTTGTTGGTCTTCAAAAGCTCTTTCCTCACATTTTGCGGCCTCGTGCAGCGCCTGTTTTCCTTTATTATGCAGGTCCTGCTTCATGAGCTTAGACAGTTCCTTGACTTGGATCGACAAACTGTCGATCCTTGCATCGTGAGAAACGGAAGCAGGAACCTGGTATAGACCCCTCGAAGGCTCGGGCCTGTTGGACTCTGGCCAACTTGACTGATTGGCCGCTATTTTCTCTATTAAAGCCCTCGCTTCTGAGGCACAGCGCCCCATCAACGAGCTTCCTGCCGCTGCATCCAAGGACATCCTTAGTTCAGGAGTGATTCCTGAGTAGAAAATTTGTAGCTCCATGAAGTACGGAATATCATGATAAGAGCAGTTGCGGAGCAATTGTTTGAATTGGCTCCAGGCTTTGGGAAGGGTCTCATCACTCGCCATCTTGAAAGTGAGTATTTCATTCCTTTGGCGAATGGTCTTCGATACGGGATGATATTTACTCATAAAGGCCTGCACTACTTCCTTAAAAGAGCCAGGAATGGGATAAAGGTTATCGAACCATTTCCTGGCTTCTCCAGATAAAGAGAATGGAAACAGTATCAGTTTTGCAGCGTCCTCCGTGATGCCGTGAGATTTGGAGGTGGCAGCGATCCTGTTAAAGTTCTGTATATGCTCACAAGGGCTTTCGTTGAGCAGCCCATGGAATTGGCTCTGGCTCGCCAGGCTGACAAGCGCTGGTTTCACCTCATAATGGCCAGAGCCTCTGGGCGCTGAACTTGTAATTAATGTATGATCCAGAAGGGACTGGTAGTGAACGTCCATGGGGACTTCAGCAAGCGGGCGTTCAGCAGCCCTGTGTCCCTCAGCCCTTTGGTGAGACTTAGCAGTAGGTGGTGGGGGAGTGATGGTAGCAGGTATCGCAGCGGTGTTGGCAGCTTGAGCCACTTGGGAAGCGATAAACGCCCCCTGCGTAGCTTGAGCTTTCTCCACCTGAGCGAGGTGCGCTTGCAGCCCCGCCATTCCCTGTTGAATGCTACTGAGAGCTCTCATTAATTGCTCCTCAGTTGGTGTGAGCGCATGGGGAACGACAGTAGGGACCACAGTGGGGATGTGGAGCGGCACCTCCTGCGAAGATGCAGATGTGGCAGAGTTGGAAGATGTCCCAGCTGCAGTCTGGAAAGTTGGGACGACAGTAGGAGCGGTGGCATTTCCTTCGTTTTCCATAAGTTGTTTTCGCACTTGCTCTCTGAACAGACGTCTCTGTGATCGAGCGGAAGGAGTAGGACTTGTGGGACGCTGAAAATGCTTCGGACCCCTACATAATGATAGCCACATCAAAGAAAAAGTTAGCAAAATTAGTAAGAATGCAAAAATTATTACAAAGAATTTAAAAGTAATTTATGGCGCTTCAAAAGATCCTCAACCAAAATACTTTTCATGAGTTTAAAATCCCCGGCAACGGCGCCAAATTATGATGACTAAAAATGTGCGTGTGTGTATTTACGCAATTCACAGGGAATTTATGTTTGAAAATCAATGAGTGGAAGTTTATAGAAAACGATCAGATATAGTAATTTTTGTGGTTGTAGAACCTGAGTAGTTATTACAATTATTTATACTCTTTTTACTGGTGAGTTTCCAGGTCGAACACAAGGATTTTAAGTCATGAATTTCAACAGTGAAAATCTTGAAAAAAAGCGACGAAATATGCAGGAAGGGATCCGCTTGCAGCGGATCCAAAAGCTAGGCTATAGAAAGCGGTAAGTAAAGCGATAAAAAATGAAGTGAGCGAAGCTAGGGCGGAAGATGAAGTGCCAGCGGTAACCAGATGATCGGGACATGAGCGGAAGTGAGGACCAGATGAACGGGACATGGATGAATGGCGGTTACCGAGTGAACGGGACATGAGCGAGCAGCACATTATATGTATATATATATAGATGAGCGACCAAGAGTGAAGGAGAGATGTTATGTCTGAACTGTGCATTACTAAATGGATAGATTTTCCTGGAGGCAATGAGCGAGCGATGTAAGTGTGTTATCGGAAATATATGTATTTTACGGAAGCGGTGAGAAGGAAGTATTGTAATTATATAAACTGAATATAAATAATTCATAACACTGGAATTTTTTACCTTAAGGGATTTACAACAAGACTTCAATGACACCCAGATTCAAGACATTATAAGAAAGAAACCCTACTGTCATTAGGAATCTCTGCGACCTAATAGACCACCACCGCCTATGTCCCGTTAATTTTTCCAAAATCTGCCTTATTAGTGGCTTTACCCTTCTGTTACCTATTTTTAATCAAAATTGAATTCAGAACAGCAGTTAAGCAGGTCGACAAGGCTCCCACGTACTTAACTACATTGAATTACCTTGAGACCGCTTTTGGCGCATAACAAGGCTCAAATAATCAATTCTTCTCTAGCTCTAAACCAGTTAAATGGAATTCTAACAAGGCTCAAATAATCAATTCTTCTCTAGCTCTAAACCAGTTAAATGGAATTCTCTAAGTTCAAACTTTATATAAGTGTGTAAAAATTGTGGAAGAATTGAAGATGAAGAACTGAATGATATTTCATTATCTACTACGAAAGCATGAAAAGACTAAAGCTACAAAGCTGTAAACAGGAGCAGTAATCTAATCTAAGAAAGCCGTAAAGACTTGGCCAAGGGAGAAAGAAAACCCCTACTCCCTTGGCCATTCCTGTGGAGAACTCCCTTACAGGGTTGGAGCTCTCGAAAACAGGAAGACGATTTGCTTGACAAGTACTTGCTAGGAGTGTTTTTAATCGAAGTATCGATCTCTTTTACATAAAGATATCTGGCCCTATTTATAGCAAGTGAAACAGAACAGTTGCAATCAGTTGTTGGGCGGTTCCAACCGCTGGGTAGGTAGGCGGTTACTGGTAGTTATTCTGTTGAAACAGTTGCTGGCCATAACTCCCAGGGCACTTGCTTTGATTGCACTGAACTGTAAGGATGCAAATCTTCCTCGCTTGCCGAAGAGCTGGAGGGCATCAGCGCAGCTAGGCTCGCTTGTGCCGGCTGGAAATGGAATGGTTGTACCGCTGCATTTGGAACACTTAGTTAGAATGTGGTGATAATTTGCAGCGGTGGGTGTCTGGGCAGTCGCTTGCAAGTGGGAGAGGCTGTCGCTTGCCTCTCATGCCTTAGTATTTTCCAGGACATATTCTGGGCGCTTGCGAGCGGAGGTGGCTGTCGCTTGTGGCGTTTGCCTTAGCTTTTCTGGCACTAGATTACCGCTTAAAAAGGCAAAAATCGTTAATAATTTCAACAACGAATTTTGAATTATGCCAAGCGATATATATCAATAATGTATGCCATTAATGAATCATTGTGATGGGTTTGATACAGAAATTCGAGTAATACACAGTTTTGTCAAGCTAAGAATATGCTCCTATTTGGAGTTATCAATAGGTCTTTGAAGAAGTTCTTCAAATAATTCTTTTTTTGAAATGCATGTTTTACACTACCTGACTAAAATCAAAAGTTATAACATGCAAAAAAGTTTATGTAATTCACCTCTACAAGTTAAAGCCCAACTTTCTTTGGGAGATAATTGAAGTTCAACTAGACCCAAAAACAGAATCATGTGATTTATTAGAGATTAGGACTCACATTGATTTGGTTTATTTCTTGTTACTTGTGTGATTTTCCTGTTTATTATAAAGGTAAAATTGTCCATGGATGCCCTTAACATCTAGCTGTGAATGCCAATTTTCTGCAGGTGACCAGGGTTTACAAGGGAAAGGAACACGCTGAAGTTGAGTTTACTGTAGGTTTACTTGTGTTGAGTCGATGAATATGTTAATCCGATGGTTTGATCGTACAGTTTCTTATGTTAGATTTACCCATCAATTTTTCATTTTTTATTTCTATTATTATTTTTTTCAGGTTGGACCCATACCTGTGGATGATGGATTTGGAAAGGAAATAATTACTCAAATAACCACAGCCTTGAATACGAACAGAACATTTTATACAGATTCAAACGGGCGTGATTTCATTAAAAGGGTATGTATTTAGCTTCCATTTGGTGATAAATGATCATGATAAAAAATGGTATGGAGCAACCAGTAATCCTCATGTAAATTCACTAGATATTTTGGTCAATTGTCATATTGGCTTCTTGCAGATTCGAGATTATAGAGCGGATTGGGACCTAGAAGTACACCAGCCAATATCTGGCAATTATTACCCGGCATGTCGTGTGAACCTTGCACAAACTTCTAATCGTTGCTTTCTTTAGCTTTTTGTGCCTGTTCTTTGGCATTTTCAGCTCATGAGATGTACATGCTCAATTTTACTTGAAGATAATACTATTATGGCTAGTTGAATGACATATAATGTGAGTGCCAATAATAAAATTAGAATTGAAATATTGTGTAGATAAACCTTGGAATGTATCTTGAGGATGAAACTATGGAAGTTTCTGTGTTGGTGGACCGTGCAGTTGGTGGGTCAAGCTTAGTGGATGGACAAGTAGAGCTTATGCTTCATAGGTACTGCATGCTCTCTTCATGTCTATCTCCCAATTTTTGGTTATTCTAATTGTTGGTTGTTTGCATGTGGGATTTCTAATATATTACATTTCTGTCATGGTGTGTAGGAGGCTGCTGAATGATGATTCTAGAGGCGTTGGCGAGGCACTAAATGAAGAAGTTTGTGCTTTCAACTATTGTCAGGGCTTAGTGGTAATATGATATTGCAGCAGTATTACATTGATAACTCATGCCGCTCTTTTATTTTTGTTGCTTATCCTAACATGTATTCTTATATGCCACTTGTATTCCTTGGTCACCAATACAACAACAGGCACACACACGTACATATATATAAAGTTGTGCAATATAATCGGGTCTTACCACTTGTATTAATGATTTGAATACATGAGATCTAAACATATTTGTACTTTCCCATCAATATGGGGGTGTTTCCATTCCCAGCTTGACTGACATTCCATGACTCTTGAGTTGTTCCGTCTCTTAGTCCCAAATATTAAACAAAATTTTAAGTAGTTACAGTGTCCCTAGTGGGACAACAATTTTGTTCAAAATAATGGATGTTCTCACTTTATAAACTATACAAAGTACGTCGGTCACTCAGAAAATCAATGATATTGGAGTACACTATATCTTGTGGTACTTGGTAACATCGAGATCTAGAAATATAATATTTTTTCAAGGTTATTTGTAATATCTGAATTCAGAGCACCTAGGGAATGTAGGAAGTACTGTGACTTAGAATAATGTTGGATGATTTGAAGATTAAATTACAACATCATGTGAAGAAGTACCTATATGCTTGAATATGAGATTCTCTAAGATCTTTTGTAAACTCGCTTATGTGAGTTTACCATTGCACTATTGATGCATTTCCTTGTCACTATGAAGTTGTTCATTTGCTTCACTTATGATTTAATCCATGGGAGGTGATAGTATGTTACATTCTCTCTCAATAAAGAGAAGAAATATTCTATCCAAAATTATGTTTACATGTGTCAAAGCCTTACCATCAAGGTTTGGACCTCTCTCCTGATAGGAAATAGGGACAGGAACTCAGGAATGAGGAGAGGGCAAGACCCTTGTTGGTGTATCGGAAGCGTGGACGGGCCTAGGCTTGCTTTCGCAAGCTTGGCTTTATATTTATCACTCTTTTAATATTTATCTAGTTGGACATTTAATTATGGACTTTTATTAGTTTGGTTTGGGTTTATTTCTTGTTTAATGGACTTATTTTAGTATAGTAGTAAGGTTTAGGTAATAGTATTTAAGGAGTTGCTAGTGTTTGAAACATTATTCTGGGTTTTAAAAATTAAGTAGCCTTGGGGCTTTTGGGCGAAAGGTTGATACCGGTTGATTGTTCTTGGGCAAGCTATTGATATCGTTTGATTCTTCTTATCCTTTATCTTGTTTTTATCATCTCCATTCCTAGAAAATTCATTAGTCACCATCCGTTTTATCTGGCTCTATATAGCACACATGTGGGTTCTATTCTCCACTCTTGTTTTAAAGAGTTCAGATCTGTCCTTTTTTTTATTAATATTTTGAATCTGTGAACAAAACAAAATCCAGCATTACTTGTGATCTTAGACATCACATAACACAAACTCAATACTTCTAACTATCTTGATTGGAGTAAAATGTTTTATCTGAGAAGTATTGATAATGATAATCACTTGACTGATGATCCTTAAAAAAATGGTTCAAGGAAGATGCCGGACTGTTCATACAGATAAAGAATTACATTGACAATGAGGTATTTGGCATGATTAATCACTGTGAATATGTTAAGAAGTTAATGGAATATTTAGAAATCTTGTATTTGGGTCGCACATATGAGGTGTGAATTTGTTAAGGAGTTATAGAGTTTTAGAATTCTTGTATTCTTGTAAAGGGAATATGTCACGTGTAGGTATGTCAAGATAAGACCATCATGACTTATTTATGGATTTTAAGAAAACTTACAAGGAGCTTAATCTATTACTACCTTTTAGTTCTGATGTGAAAGTTCAGCAAACTCCATGGGAATATACGGGGATTATGAGTTTGTTGGCTGCTTTTTGCCTGAAATTGAAGCTGCTAATCTAAGATCTGTTCACTGGTGTTATTTTGTGTGTGGGTGTTCTTTTTCTCCCCTTCTCACACAGCTCAAATATGAAGCAAGATCTTATACCATGATTCCAAATCTACCCCCTCTTCTTATGTCCATTTCTGCAGCAAAGTGGCGTTCAAGAAAATGAAAGGTGAACAAAATAGTTAAGAAACACGGAACAAGCCATACTGGTTTGGCAATGGAACTTAGACAGATTTCATTCACATAATCTTAAACTCTCATCTTGCTTTAGGTAGATTAGAACGTAAAATATTTGCCATGCTTTACTTAGTTATACAAAAAGACACATTTTCTGAACATATTATTGAGTATCCCAAAACATTTAACTCAACTGTATTGTATATGCATTTTTCTGGTTGTTTTTATTTCTACTTCTGGCCATAACTATCTTATATTAATTTGCAGATGAATTATTTGCTCAGAAAAATGATTTCGTAAATCTGTTTTGAATATATGTGTTTGTTTCAGGTTCAAGGGAAATTTTATCTTAGAATTGATCCACGGGGAGAAGGGGCCAAGTGGCGGCGCAAATTTGGGCAAGAGGTTTATTCTCCACTTCTTCTTGCATTTTCTCAAGAGGTGAGACAAGTATTAGGGAGTATTAATGAAAGCTGTACTCTGGACATGGCTGATCAATTTTGTTCATGCAGGAGGGTAGTAATTGGATGGATTCTCATATAACTGCATTTTCAGCTATAGATCAATTCTATAGTCTGCCAGACAACATTGCAGTGATTACCCTTGAGGTGTCCATAACTTAATCTAAAGATGACTCGTGTTTCTAGTGGAATTGAAATACTGCTACAGCTAAAACAATTCCTCTCTACACTGCAGGAGCTTCATAGTGGCAAAGTACTACTTCGCTTGGCTCACTTGTATGAGGTCAGAGGTCTAAACTATGCTATACTTTTGGGTTCTTGGGAGATCTTGAGATCATCTTAGAAATAATAAGAAGGATTTTCCAGGTTTTTTTAGTTTCCTATCTGATTGAACTTCGTATGGATTATCCATCTGAATAAAACATATTTATCCTATAAAGAACTGATTGCCAAAACTCAAATAATACATTTCAGTGTAGAAATAGTTATTTTGTACGTCCTGGTGAGCCTCATAAATCATAGTAGTAATCATTGGTGTGGCTTACACACAATCTCATAAGTTGCCACAAATAAATAACACCTAGTGATGGTATAATTTGTAACCTGATATTCTTAGTGCCTCTTGACTTGAGCATTCGATTAATTGTGCAAAAGTAACTATAGCATAACCCACCTTTGTCTTTATCAGACATTCTTGCTTGTGATTTGTTTTCATTTTGGTTTGAGATACTGGGTTGACAATCTGTTTCCATGGTCCTCTACTGTGAACCTAAAACATATTTAGGATTGAATTTTTTTTATTATTATTATTTTTTCCCTAAACGAAGACCCACTGCAGAAGTATGAATTATATTTATTCATGAACCATGCATCTATAGTGGCATGAAAATAACCTAGATAAATTAGTGGTTTTTTTTTTTTTTTTTGGAGAGGGGAAGGGGCGTGGAAAAAGAAATATTGGTAAATCTTAGTAAGTTTGAATTAAATTTGTCCATATACCATGGTTTTATAGAGCATGAAAACAAGAAATATAGAGAAATATATGCTTTTCGAGTCTTCTACAGCTAAATCAAAATTTAAGATATCAGTTCCCAAAAAATATGAAACTAAAGTAATTGAGCCTTGATTATTAAAGAGGCTCCAAATATCGTGGTTTCCAACATTATTTGCTCTTTCTTGAACTGGAACTGTTTCTCCCACTGAGGACCTGGTTAAGTATTTCTAATTGCCTCAATACATGCAATTTTAGAACTTTTGGGAGAATGAATCTTTTGAATTTCCATCCATGTGACTTCACTCTCTTGTAATTGACATGTGAAAAGGTTGGAGAGGATAAAGATTGCTCAGTAGTTGCAACTGTAGAGCTGAAGAAGCTTTTTCCAGGCAAGAAGGTAATTGAGATTCAAATTGGTAATCAACTGAAAGGCCTGGTGAATGTATTAGTATTATTTATGCATATCAACTAGCTGGTTGCCAATTTTCTTGGAAAGTTATCCATGAGATGTCTAATAATGTGAAATTGATAGAGAGTTGAGCCAAGCTTTTGTGTTTCCAAAAATGGATTTATTGTCAGATAATCGAAGTGACAGAGATGAACTTGTCTGCCAACCAAGAAAGAATAGAGATGGAAAAGAAGAAACTGAAGTGGGAGATACTAGGTGGAGCCCCTGAAGAACAACCGAATGTTGTCAGAGGAGGACCCATTGATCCAGTAACGCTTGTGATCGAACTTGCTCCCATGGAGATTCGGACATTCATCCTCGAGCTAAACTACCAAAAGGTTGATGTTTCTTGAAAGGAGCTGGGGTGATGCCCAGATGGTAATTGGGCATTTGTGCGACCAAGTGCTTGTTGAAATAAGAAATGGTTTATGGTCATGAATTTCTGAGACAGGATTTGGACCCACTGTTTTTACATTGCTCAAGTTGCCTTTGAAAGCCTTTATAAGAAAGAATTAAACAAAAAACAATATTTTTCAGCATTTCTAACAGGTGGATCCATTGCACTCCCGTGCGCACCTTTTAGGTGAAATTCGAGATTTGTTTTAAACAGTAACTATCAAAAGCTATGCACTAAAAAAATTGTATTTTTGCTGATCAACGTGATTTAACATAAGGTTCTGTGGCATCTCTGTGTGGAATAGATAATAGAGGTGAAATGTAAAAATAAATGAACATGGTAACAAATTTATTTAAGGAATGAATACGAACAAAGCTGATTCTGGTAGTTTGGTTTTCATGGGAATGAAGGACAACCAAAGGGCAACTTAGATTACTCCAGCAACTTACAAGACATGCACACTCACGAATCCTACATAAATACAACCTCCGGCATGCCAAAGAAAGGTTCAACCAACTCGTTTACTCCTTTACAAGACGATTTTTGCAATTTATTTAAAGGGATGGGGTGAGAAGAGTAAATGAAAATCATTTAAGATGCCTATGCAAATCTCAACTGTCGGAAAGGCCAAAACATGAGTGCTGTTATTTATTTATTTAATTTTAAATTTAAATAATGCTCCATTCGTCCGCTAATATTAACCTACTATAGTGGAGATTAAAAATATTAAATATTTTAATAAAAATGTGATAAAAACGTAAAAAATAATAATAATAATAATAATAATAATAATAATAATAATAATTGAAATATTTATGAAAATTTAGGTTAGAAATTAAAATAAATAATAAAATTAGTGATATTTATGGTAAATAAAAATGATTAAAGAAAGAGTAACAATTAAGTATTAATCTATTAAATTTAATGAGATATATTTAACAATTAAAAAAGAACATAAAAATAAATTTTACAAGACCACCGTCGCTAGGAAGAAGCCCAGGCTAGGCTAAGAGTGGGGATCATCAATGAAGGTGACCGAGCACCAGATTGAGGCTAGGCCACCCCACCCCTGATCGTTTACTATTATTAATAATATCATTATTAGTAATGTACCTGTACTGCAAGTCTGCATCTTCAAGATCGTCGCTTGCTTGTTTTGTCCCAGGCTGCTGTCAACAAGGCGCACACCATCCATCCTTCTATCATATCCCTATCCTATATGATTCTAGATGAATTTGGGGAGAGGAGAGGAGAGGAGAGGAGCCTTGGCACCACTTGCTGCTAAAATGGGCGCCCAGCTTCTTCCATCATCTTCTTGGCTCTCACCAGCCTTTCAATCCCCTTGAGGACCTGCCCCCTCTCCCAAAATGATCACCATCACTTTGCTCCTTAATATAACCCCACATAAATAAATGCAGTGATGAAAGTAGTTTCATGTTTTGCAGTACTCACCGTCAGGCATAAATCTTCCGCGGATACTGTTTCCACATCACAGCGACCCAGTTGAGAAGCCACATCTGCTTCCCCACCCCCACCCCACACACAGGAGACAAAAGTACATCATCAGCACAAAGTCCTAGCACAACACGCATGGAGAAACCAAGGGTCACCTGCACACTCACTCTGGAGTGAAACCACAACATCTGCGGTGTTATATCCCCCTTCAGCGCTATTATACAGTGCAATGACTTGTGCCTGAACCTGCAACAAGCCCCCCCGCAGATATTAAATATGATAGTGCACGCCCAATCATGGGCTTCTTCGATTTATGTTCCGGGTGACTCAAGACACTAGCAAACCTCTGAAGATGATCCGCATCTTGGCATGTCAGATGCGGAGAATTGAATTCTATCTTCACTTATCTCTCTGGCCACCAAGTCCAATGGTACATCCACCCATATTGAAATCCCATGTCGCAGTAATGCCCTGAATCACCCACCCAAGTTCAATTGTTGATCAACTGTGCACATGCAAAATTTTGCAACAAGCAACACCACAAGGATTACACATACAAATTTGTTGTGCTCTTAACAGCTCCATTCCCAGCGCAAACAACCAGCCGGCCCATGGATGATAACTGCTTCAAGACTTCTGTCTACAATTTATTCCAAGTGACAATCACCCAATCATAAGCTTCCGATTCATTTTGCAGCCAACTTTATTATTAAGCGCAGGAAGAGTACAGGCTCTCACCTCTGATGCAAGGTACCCCTCCTCATCTTTCTCTACGAATGCTATTGCAGACATTTTTCCTCCAGCAGCTTCCTCTACCAGACTATCACTGCAGAATAGACATCAGCAATTGAAGTGAACTAATCTGGCATGCATGCACTACTAATTCAGAAATCGCTCTCATCTTTACCTGTCAAAATAATAGTATCTTAATGCATCAGCAAGTATCCTCCCCAAACTCGATTTATATGAGCTGTTTATACCTGTTATAACAGCCGTTAGGAAGTGTGATTGTACGAAAAATATGTGCAAGGAAAATGCATACATATAGGAAATGTCCTCACCAACTAAAAATATTGAAGTTCCCTTTAAATCAGATGAAATTTCTAAAGCCCTTTTCTGAAAGAAGCAATGAAGGGGAAAAATAGTGATTAAAAAATAATAATAAGTAATGACTTCAGTTCATGTCTTCATAACAAACTCGAGCTGAAAGGAGTTGAAGCATTCAACAAGAAGAAGTTAAATACCTACTTTGATTGTCAAAGACATATCATCATCTTCAAGTTCAACAGCCTTTGTTGCCACTGTATCTAACAAAAAAGTAAAAAAGAAACATACACGAGCATTGCATTTAATCATGAACAGATTCTTTCCTCGATACGCCAGAGCGGTAACCAATAGATGGGGAATAAAGTAGATTATCAGCAATCTTCATAAGCATATTCAATAGAATTCATCGCATCTCTCGGGAGGACAAGCTTCTTTAACACGAATCAAATATATAGTCGCCATATAATATGAGCTCCACTTGTCAGACGAAGCTTGAACACCATAATTTGTTTGTCAATTGGGAAAAATAAACGAAAGCAAAAAAGGGAAGAAAGCGAAGTTCAAGTTGTTCGAGAATTCAATTATAGTTTTAAACATATTTTCGAGAAAGAGAAAGTGCGTTCCAATCTCATTAGTTCGTTTACTAACAGAAATTGGCACATAAAAGACGAGCAATTCAACTTACTAACAAAAGTAAACTGGCTACGTGCCACAGTGAATTTTGGTGCGAACAATTCGCGGGAGGAAAAAACAAGCAGATAGTTGGGGAGCGGTCCTTGCCTGAAGTGTTGTTTTCGAGGAGTGCGCGAGTACAAGTGTTGGAAAAAAGCCTACGGGGTGGAGAAGCTTTAGGTTTTAAAGACAGAAGAGTTGAAACCGGGGAAAGCCCAGAGGAAGAAAGCATAGGGGTGAGCGGAAAGAAAGCTGGGCAACGGCCGCGAACGCATGTTTGGATTATCTCCATGGACACCACAAACTCACTTGGATTGGATTTGCAGTGGCTTGAGATAGAACTCGCGTGAGACAGAGTCGCGTCGTCGTGTGTAGTGTATTCATTATCATTCGTCCGTTGTTTTTGGGCCTCGATTCCACGGCTTGGGATCGTCGTTTCAACGGAACGGAACCCTCAAACGCAACGTATCATTATTTATATATTTATTTATTTTAAATCAATTGAAACACTTTTTACAAAATTAAAATAATATAATTTTAAAAATTAAATAGTATATATTCTTTCAATAAAATAAAAATAAAACATTAATTTATTTTTTTCATTTATCTAGGTGTGATTACACATTTGATACCATATTAGGACGAAAATTCGAATAACCAACTTAAAATCCCAACATTACGTGCAATAATAGTGACACCGGTTTTCTAATATTTATTTATTTATTTTACAATGTATGCTATTGTCTTTTAAATTTTTTGTATGTGTACTTAGAATGGTAATTCGTTATATGTATTAGATTTTATCATTGTTTAGTACTCCACGTTAAGCTTGTCCTTGAGCTCCTTGTATTTGTACTGAACATTTGATTGTGATTATCTTGCTTGATACTTTGGGAAAATAGTTCAAAATTTGGCGTTTTTCTATAAACTAGTATCAAGCAATTGTTTGTTTTAATTATGTGAAATTTGGTTGTTTCTCTGCAAGTGTACATCAATCACCTTATGTAGCATAGCTTCACTAATTTGTATTGTGTGCATATAGCGAGTGAGTCTAGAGATGGCGAGGGAGAGAGAGAGAGAGAGAGAGTCACGTGCCCGTCAGGCCGGCTATTTAGTTATACTACATACAGATACAGTAATAGTAGTAACATCAAAGTAGAAAATCAAATGAGGTCTCCCTCTCCCTCTCCCCCCTGGCCCTACAGAAGTCATTGAGGTGGGTCCCATCGAATGTTCCTAAACCTGTCAGCCTGACGCCATAGGCTTCCATCCGCCGTGAGTCGCGCGGTATGGGTGATTGCCAGAGTCCATCCCACCAGGCCGGAGGGAGGATGGGCGTCGGAGCACATTGGCCCGCCTGGCCGCGGCAGCTCAATGGGCCCGCAAATCTGTTCCACGCGTGCCCCCACCCCACCTGATTCTTCAACCCTTCCGACAGGGCATTGCTCTGGAAGCTGCTCAGGAATGCAATGCTGGACTGGTTGGATGCGCTCTTGCTCTCATCTGCCATGCCAATGCATACACGATCATATTCATATCATCGTAATAATAATTATCATAATCATAACTACCAAGTCTGTATGCTGCTGCAAGCGCTGCTATCAACTGCACGTATGTGGTTCCAACACGTCGGTGAGCTCCAGAGACAACACCATGCTTAGCACGCGCCGCCAGAAAGAAATCAACAAAGGCTACCCATCTGGGCGCTGGACCCCAGTCCTTCACTCTGAAATCCAACACCTTGTTAGATTTCTGAGTGTTTGGGCTGCCTGCCCCTGCCCCTGCTGCAGCACCGGATACATTTCCTTCATACCTTTTATAATCGAAGTGTACAACCTGACCAACAAAAAACCCAAAACAGTTGGCTTAATCACACTATATATACACATAGTCAGATGCTGATAAATCCATCACAACCACCACCACCACCACCACCAAATAAAATTCCTTATTAGCTTATAGCGTACAACAGCCTCTTAAAATTAATACTTCTTAACCCTCAAACCAGCCCAGAGAAATAATGATTATATATATATATATATATATAGAGAGAGAGAGAGAGAGAGAGAGACTACGGAACAACGAATGACAACCTCTGCAAACTCCTCCAGACTTGGGCAAATATCTTTCACCATAGAAGGTGTATCAGAAACCAAAACCACTTTCGGCTTCGATCCCACCACTGGAACATTACGCACAGCTTCTCTCATGCAACGCAAGGCTGCATTCTTTGCTCTCACAGATCTGCAGATCGACAAGGCACGCATCTCCCAATTAACAAAGCTCTGGAATTTACAGATAAGAATCAAGTGAGCATTCAATGCCCAACTCAATCTGAGGGCTGCGGCACAACCCTTACCTGTTCATCATCATTCGCATGTGCAGTGCAATATCAGGACTTGTGCGGCCATCAAGAGCCCAATGTACCGCCTGCTCAACATCTCTTGAAGGGTATATTAGAATCCTCATGAGCTCCCCAAACACATTTGCCCTGTACTGAAGATTTTCGGGATTTCCAAATAAATTAGATGCAACCTCCCTCATTTCAGAATGTATGTTCTTCAAGAAAAACTGAGCAGCCACGGCATCTGTAGTATTCTGGAACCTGATTGAAGATCGACTTTAAAATTAACTGACTATGTATTAGCGGATGGCATTAGGATTCACAAAAGTTGGATACTACTAGCATACTGCCTGCCTACCATATGATAGGTTGCACCCATTTTCTCCAATTACTGCAAAGAACATCAGTTTTGGTTGGCTTCTGAAAGTCATCAATCCTCATTGTCAGATGCCTCCCATATCTTGTCAGGCAGCGATTCTGTCTCCACAAGTGCTTGACTTCTTTCAGGGTGAAGGAGACATTGGAATATGAGACGAAATCACCAAAAGGATATCTACCCCTGAAAAACAAGACAAGGATACACAACAGTAAATAATGTATTAGAGGGATAAGACTAGTAAGTTAGTTGATATGCCAAATCAAAAGATTTCCCCTGTCCTTTCCTCAGCATCACTCGATTATAAAAGGCAAGACTGAGATTGAGAGGGCAGAGAAGAAGGTAAGGGTGCGGTGCAGGCACAAATTCAGTGCAAACAGAAAGGCCAAAGACAAGGAAAGAACCGATATGCCTGGTTTGCCCAATTATCAATGACCGGTTCAGCATAACGCTCAATGCTGCAGCAGTTAAGATCTTGTACAGCTCATTTCCCAAACCAGCTTCTGACGCTTTTCCGATGACAAAACCATGGCGGCAGAATTCTTGTGGCTTCAGCTCTCGTACTCTTGCTGCACCTGAAATTATAATTGGTTACTTGCAATTGCATCGCCGCCCTGGTGCTATGCTATACTTTTCTTCTAGTTCCATATATAAACGAAACACGTGCCGTTTTCACCTCAAGACACACAAACCATTGATCCTACAGAAAGCATATTAAAACACCCACAGAAAAAAAAAAAAAAAAAAAAAAAAAAAAGGAGGCGGGTTTTGGAACAGAGCAAGTGAAAAATTCGATCGGATTAAACCAAACCATTAATGGAGAAGTGATGGCGAATAGTTCTTCTCACTTGGAGGCTTTCTTCCACATAACCTCTACGGAAGATCTCGCCCATCTCCTCAACGGTCGCGCAGGTCTTGGTCTTGACATCACCTGATGCCGACGCCGACCCCAATCCCGATCCCGATCCCGATCCTCTCATAACCAACCTCGAATTAGCTGCCGGTTTCTCTAAGGTTTGTGGTAGGTAAGTGCTATGATTACGATGGATGGGAGGGTGGTCCGATGGATCAAGGGATCTGAGATCTAACATGAATATGCCGAAAACTGTAAAGAGGGCGATGAGGACGAGGGAGAAGCAAATGGGTAGTCGGCTGGGACGATATAACTGGGAGCTCATTCTCAGCCCACACTGCGGCGTGCTTAGGAGTTGGGTGATGATACTTCACCTCTGAATCGGAATCGGAATCGGAATCGGATCCTAATGCCACCGAGCGGCGGCAGCGTTGGATATGTCTCTGTGGACTGTGGTTTTAATTAAACTAATTTAAGGGGGGCGACGCTCCAATCCATCATTTTATTTGTTCATTTACTTACTTTTCTGATAGATAGATAGATAGATAGATAGAAGATAGATTTTGCAATAAAAGTCAATCGGTCTCAATTGTATGACTGGTAAATTATTACGTCATATGAATATTTTAATAGTGCAGCCGTATGTTCACAAAAATCAGGGACAATTCACGTACCATACATGCACACATGGTTCTGTTACTAATCTTATCCTAACATTCCAAACGCCATCCAACATTTTTTTTTTTTGTTCCAAATTTAATACAATATTTCTAAATTTAAAAATAATTAATTATTTTATATATATATAAATATATAACTCACTTTATCACATCTCATTATTCAAATAAAAAAAATAAATTATGTATTTTTCTTTCCAATTATATCTGTTTGGTACAAAGAAATGAGATCATAAAATAAAAATGATCTCATTTCTCTTATTTATTTGAGTAAAAAATAAAATTTAAAAAATAAATTATTTTTATTCTTTATTTTCATTTTTTTCATGTGCACAGAGAAATTGAAAGAAATAATGTAGCAGCATACTTTTTTTATTTTTTTTATCTTTTCTTTACTATTTAATTTTATACATTTTTTTAAAAATTATATTATTTTAATTTTAAGAAAATCAAATTTAATTTATTGTTAAAATATTTAAGTGTTACGATTTTTTAAGCAATTGTGCTAAAATATAATCTTAAAAAATATCATATATAATTTATAATTTTTTTAAAAAAAAATCACCAAAAATATTTTTCATAAATTTTCATTAGTTAAAATCCCTTTTTTTATCCGATTAATCATCTATTCTTATTTGATCCATAGCTGCATTTTTTATATATTTCTCAATTGAATTATCTTTTTTACCAAATAAAAAAATTAATTATCATTTTCTCCTCAATTTAATTTCTCTTCGATTATATTCTCTACTCTCATTTATTTGCAATTTCATTCTCAGTAACAAACATCACCCTAATCTCTCAAATTATCCTACTTAAAACTACTCACCTAACTTTTCGTGTCGAATTCATATGTTGCACGATGTTTGAAAGAGATGGAGTAGTTTTCCTTCTTGTCAATCATACGTAGGTCATTTAACAAAAGTAAGTATAATTTACTAATTATAAATGGCCTAAATTACTACTCTCTAGTCCATTAAAATTAACCCATACAGGTCGAAAATTAAAAAAATAAATAAATATTTTATTGAAAAATAATAGGTAATTTGGGGTATTTAAAAAATTTAATTAAAAATTAAAATAAATAAAAAATATGATAAAATTAATGGTATTTGTTATAAAATAAACATTGAATGAAAAATAATAAGTAAATTTTAATTTGTTAACTTTATAAATAATAAATTTAATTCGCGAACTAAAAAAAAAAAAACATATTTTATTTATTGTGTCTTTGATAAAAGAAATAATTCTTATCAAAACTTGTCTCCTTCTTTTTTTTCCCAAAGAAATCTTTATCACTTGTTTGATTATTTTCAAATATTAGTTTACTTCATTCCAAATATTCATATTAGTAATAGGTTCAAAACAATTCTCAACTTTTATTATGATTGGATTCAAATAATTTGCAACAAAAACAATAAACTTTATCTTCATATTTAGAATAAACTAACCATTTTCGGTCTAAAATCTCACCATTTTTTATTTTTCTAGTGTAACGAATATTTGAAAAATTTCGGGAAGTACTATCTAAGGGAAAAGTAAGATTTAAGTCTCTTCTCGGTTCATTTTCAATTAAAATATTTTTTTATCGTCAAGATTATTCCAATACTTAGGGTCATAGATAAATAAACTTTCATCTAAAATATCATCATCAACTATATTTACATGATTATCATGCTCATCCAAATGATTATCATTAAATTCGCCAATATTATTTTTATTTTCAGTATTTAATTCATCATTGGATTCCAACTTATCAATATCATCTATATTCAAATCAGGAAGAACCTATATTTAAAAATAAAATAAAAAATTATCAAAAGATCCTTTTTACCATTCTACCAATTGCTGAATCTTCTTTCCTTCTTTCTTTCTTTTTTTTCTTTTTTCACTACCAGAAATATATTTTCTTCGCTTGCTATAGAAATAAATCAAACAAAAACAAAAATATATTTAACAAATTGAAACAAAAGCACTCGGTTTTTATTCACCATTCTTTCCTTGTCCTTGTTCAGTTGTTTATAATATTTGCAAAGAATATTAAAAATAAAAAAAAAAAAGTTAACCGATAACACCAAAAAAAAAAATCAATTAAAAAAATTAATTACAAATATTTTTCAAATAAAATTGAATCTATTATCTATATCATTGTAATATATATGATCAAACAATTAAGTTAACTTATAACTCTAAATAAATTCAATTAAAATATAGTAAGATTAAGCAAATAAATTCAATTAAAAAAATCAATTGAAACCCTAACTACTGTAAAAATGGCCTCCAATTTAACTTGAAGAATTGCGTTTGATGTGGCCCGTGGGAAAAAAAATTACAGAGAAATAAAATATTAATGAGACCTGAGAGTGAAATGAAAAAAATTGGAGGAAAAAAAATTGCCCGTATAATTAGACATATATAAAATATAATACTTAACGACAAATTGAAAATAAATCATTGATGGAGTGGAATGGTCTGGCATCGAGAGACTAGCCATTAAAATGACTCATATGTGTATATATATATATATATTACCCTTATATATATATACATATAAAATCTAAAAATTTGGAGCTCCAACATAGACTGGGTCTTGGGCGGTCGACGGCCTGCGAATGGGTATATGTATATATACTAGTCGCACGTTTGTTGCGCTACAACGCTATTATGTCTTCTTTATTGTAGACACAAAATTTAGGAGGTGTATGATTAGTAAATGATTAAGAATGTATTAGTAAAAATAATTATTGTATAATATAAGTAATTATAAATTAAGATTAAATAATTAATTAGTTTAATTAAAATTAAATAGTTAAAAAATAAAATATTTAAAATAAGATTAAAGTGTCTAATTTATTTTTTTAAAATGACAAAATAAGTAGATCGAATGAAAATAGAAAATGTATGCATAATAAATAGGACGAAGGGAGTATAAATTAATTTCAAAAAATACAAAACTTATATCACTATTAGTACAATTGCATTCCAAATACATTAGTTCTATTCTTTACACAAATAGTAAAGTATTTTATTCTTTTACTATGCTAATTGATTATTATTTCAATAATACGGTCACGAAAGAGTAAAATAAATAAATAAGAATGAATGTTCATATGTATTAATTACTTTTATTTTGTATTATTTCAATAATAGTCAATAAAAAATTTAATGATCGAAAAAAAATATCAAATAAAACAAAGATTAATTTTTCATATAATAATTTTTTTAAAAAAAAATAAAAAAATAATTAAAAAAATTCTCTATCAATAATTTTTATTGTACTATAATAATAAAATAAATTCTACTTAAAAAAAATTAATATTATTATATAATAGAATTAATAAAGTTAATAATGTTGAATGAAATATTTATAACAAAATAAATAATTATATTAATATAGTTTTTTGAAAAAGGGTGAGAAAGAAAATAGATTATTGAATAAAGGGTATTAATGTAATTTTATTTAGCAAATTTTTTTAAAATATATGTATATTATAGGATATATATGAAAAAATAATAATAATAAAAGCTACAATTAATTAATTAGTTGAATCGTATGTCGTATCTCCTGGATCTGTACATTTCTGCATATGCATGCATACACAAGACAACTCGAGAAAGTATACGCATGCACGTTGGATTTGGGATCAAATATGTGTATCGAATGTATTGTTAAAGTCATTATTTTATACAATCAGGTCTAATTAATATAATTAATTATTGACTGATAGGTTTGATTGGTACGAAATGAAAGTGCTCTACTCCTATAATATTATTATTTTGACGACGTAACAAATTAATAATATTAATTAAGGGCATATTTATAATTATAATTATGTTTGTCCTATCATAAATAAGCTAAGACTAATGTTATGTCCCGGGACATAACGCGCAGTAAAAGAGATCTGATTCTCGACACTTTAATTTTGAAAGACCAAATCTTTAATCACCCAAAATCCTAATTCTGGACACTCTAAACCCTAGGCCATTGTTGGGGGGTGCTTGCTTGCTGTTAGTTAGTGTTAATTGATGAGGTCACAAATAAAATTTATAATTAAAATGGGTTGGGCTTCAGCCAGTCAGTCAGTCAGAGTCTGACCCGGCTGACTGATGATAAATTAAGATGGATATATGCAACCAATTACCATAATCAATACGTGATTAGTGTATAACGCAGGGCTTCTTCTTCTTCTTCTTGCCCATATATAGTAGTAGTAGCATCTATCTGTCTATCTATCACTATTTGCTAGTGTTGCCGTCGAACAAGTCCTCAATGCAGGCCTCAATATCCTCGGGCTGATATTTGACGTACTTCTCGGTCTGGCGGCCGGGAGTGAAGGTGTGGCTGTACCGCCCCAGGTACGACCTGTAGGCCGGGATGACCATGTTGGAGATGGCCACCCTCAGCTCCGACTGCAGCTGCTCGTCCGCCACCACCCACCCGCTCTGCGCCCGGTGAATCTCGTCGAACATGGCGTTGAAGCTCTTGAACCTCTCCTTCAACACCGGCTTCGACACCTTCCCGTTCACCACCAGCCCATCCGACGCCCGGAAGCAACCCAGCAGCCGCCCCCACGTCTCCCGCTGGTACACCTGGTGGTACTGCCTCAGGTCCGCCGACTTCTTGCGGTACCACGCCTCCCCCATCAGGCTGTTCAGCTCGCTCGACTCCCTCACCTTCTTCAGCACGTACCTCCCGTTGTTCATCAAAAATATCGAGCTCAGCGCCGGCTCCTTGTACAGCTTCGACTTCCGCTCCACCTTCTGCTCCAGCAGCTCCATCACCTTCGTTATCTGACCTTGGAAGGGCGACGATGGCGGCTGCCTGCCCGCGCCGCCTCGACTTTGGCTTTGGCTTTGGCTTTGATCGGATTGATTCTGATGGTCCTGATGATCTAAATATTGGTCATCTCCTCCTTCATGATCCCGATCTCGATCATCATCGTACTCTGCCCTCTCCAGCTTATAATTCCGGTGCTCGCTGAACACCTGATCCAAGGTTGCCTTGTACTCGCACGCATTCTCCAGGAAATCCGTCGTGTATATCGTCAGGGGGTGCACTCCCCCGCCCGCAGCCGGCACCGGAGTCTTCCCCGCGTCGCCCTTTATTGACCTCTCCAGGTCGCTGAACATCAGAATCATGGCCTGCCCCAGGCTGCTCCTTATCATGGAGGCCTCCGACTTAATCTCGGTGCCCCACTCCTGCGGCATCAGCTCGCCAATCTCGGGCACGCTGTCCCTCAAGGCCTCGTACACGTCCAGAAACTTGAACAGCTTCTCCACACCGCGTCTCGTCAGTGCCAGGGCCGCGGAGAAATTGAAGAGTTGAGTGGTAACGCCATGCGACAGGCTCCCGAACAGGGCCTGGGACATGGCAGGATAATCCGAGAAGACGGTGTCGGACAGCTTGCGTTCGCTGGGAACGTGCAAGGTCTCCCACTGCCTCAACGCCCTAATCCAGGCTTGGATCTCCCTCTCCAGCGATCCCCACTGCATCTTCTGGACGTCATCGATGCTGTGCTTCTCGAACCCAAGCGTGTGAAGGGTCTCCTCCAGTGCATTCCGCCGTGCCACTGAGTAGGCTTGGCAGCACTCTGTTTCGTAGCCCCCCGCGACCAGGGCCTTGGATAAGCGAATCAAGTCGGACAGGGTCTCGGGGTTGTATCCGGAGAGACATACAAGGCTAGCGCTGTTGCTGCTGCTGGTATTCATCTGCCCCTCCTCCTCCGCCGACTCGGGCTCAGGCTCAGGCTCACCATCAGCTGGAGGAGGTGGGGCGTGGTGGTTTTGATGAGCTGATGAATGCTGTTCCGACGACGAGGACGAGGACGATGCAGATTTAGAATGATCAACATTGCCTGCCGCTGCCGCCGCCGCCGCCTTGTGATCTTCAAGGAGGGACTTGAACTCTTCCTCCAGGTACGACATGGCCTGCTGGAGAATCCTTCCGAGGCGGTTGATGCAGGAGGCGTACTTTTGTTCGGACTGGAATCTCAGGAGTGCTCTCGACAGGGAAGAGACCCGGGATGCGGCCTCAAGGAACGATGCTGCATCATCCTGCGTCAGTCGACTCCATTTTATAAGAGGCGGTTCGTGGTGGTGGTCGGAGGAGGAGGAGGGATCTTGGCTTATCCCGGTCTGTGCTTCGACCAGATCCAGGAACTGCTCAACGAACAGGGGCAGATCGGGCGGGGGATGTTCATCATACTCAACATCTCCTGATGATGAGATGAAACGATCGATCTCTTGAGAAACTTTACCGAGATCCGGAGGTGATGGGGAATTATTAGAGTTGTGGTCGTCGTCGTCGTCCTTGTTTTTCTCCTGCTCCTCTAATTCCGTTTTGGCTTCTGGGGATGTAGGGCTGCCATCATCCCCACCATGGTCGTTGCCGTCTCCATGAGGAGGACAACGGTGTTGCTCATCGTCGCCATGTCCATCACGAATACTGTTGTGTCCTCTGTCGTTGTCTGGTTGATCTGGAGCTGGAGGAGGATCACTGACAACAACATCGTCATCATTATTGTTACTGTTACTAAGGGCGAGGGGGTCCGGTAACTTTTGGGGATCCTCCGGCTCCAATTTGAAAGGAGGCTGTCCATTATCATTATCATCATCGTCGTCATCATCATCAAGATGGAAATGGGGATTGGAGGAGGAAGAAGGCGACTCGGCAGCAGCTACATCCATTGTTTAAAGTAAAATATAAATACCTAAATACATGAATAAATAAAATGAAAGTAGGCTTTGTTGAGGGAGGAAAGGAAAGGAAAGGAAGAGAAGAGAAGAGAAGAGAAGAGAAGAGGGAATGAAGAGTGCATGCGCATGCAGATCGGTGATGGGGGGCGAGGAGAGGGAGCGAGGGTAAAACATGCCCCTGGCCATCAAATCACATGTTCCAAAATTCCTCTATTCCTCTATTTCCATCGACAAATATGTGAGATGTGTATTAACAATGAATAGAGATATAATGTATATAATATTAATTAATTATTATTGACAAATTATATATATATATATATATAAATTTTTATGTCAATATTCATGGGAGGTCAAGTCACACCAAACAAACCATGTATAGGAGATGATTTGGAAGACGTCGACAATTTGAACCCATGATCTCAATCTATGATATTGTATTCTTGACGGAAGGAATACTACTTTTATCATTTAAATTTATGGTTAATTTTTATTGGATTCTTAGTAAAAATTAGAGTCGGCAAAAATTGACCCGACATGATAACTCGAAACGAAATAATTGAGTTTGAGTCAAATATTTTAATCCGATTATATATACGGATTGACATGAACCCGATGCGATAATAAATAAGTCGAGTTAGAGTTGAGGCTCTCAATTGAAATCCGACATGGACAACTCAATTATAATATATTAATATTGATTAATATATTTATTATATATGCAAAATAATTATAATTAAATAATTTGTTCATACATTAATTTAAACTAAATTCAATTTTAAATAATTCATTGTACACATTACTACAAAAAATAATTTAATTTGAATCAAGAATTTCGACTTAATTATGTATACGGGTCCACACAAGCCCGACACGATAATAAACGGGTCAACACAAACCCGACACAATAATAAACGTGTCGGGTTAGAATTGAATAATTTAACCCGTTTTAAACATTCAACCCGACACGAATCAACCAATTGTCAGCTTTAGTAAAAATATACTTAACACTAAAAATATTTTTATATTTTTATATTTGTATTATTTTTTTTTTAACAAATGTCATTCTATTAGTATTGTAAACCTGCAATTTTTTCTTAATTTGTACTAAGTTTTAATATAATAATTAATATTCAAAGATAAATAAAAAAATAAAAAAAATAAACGAGACCCTTAAAACCGGACGGAGGTAGTACTATTTTTAATTTTTTACTATATTTATAAAATTATTATTATCAAATATTTTATTAAAATTCATGTTTAATTATACAGGCATAATCTTTTATAACAATAATAATATATATTCAAATTAAATTATTTATTTTTTATTTATATATGAATTAAATATGATATTTTACATGAAAATAAATAAAATTTTGAAAAGAAAATTTTAAATAAAAATTGAAACCGATTATCATTTTTTTTTAAAAAAAAATAGTTTAATGGATTAAAAACTTTATAAGAAATTATAAAGTTTCAAAATAAATTTTTATTTTAAGTTTAAAATTTTTATTTGTTTTTAAAAATAAATATTTATTTAACACATATAAATATATATTTTTATATAAATATTTAAATATAATATTTCATAAATTATGTTTATATTATATTAATATTTATTTATATTAAATATAATAAATTATAATTTAAAATTTTACTAGAGCTCAGGTCATACAGACAAATTCAACGCACAAACAAATACAGTAGATCATCCCCAGTATATAAACTTATTTATTAATTATAAACTAGGGTCAGTTGAGTAACTTCAGAATTATAAGTAGGGCCATTTGGGTATTTTAGGTTGACTTAATGGGTCAGGGAGGAGGAGGGAGGAGGCAGGCCATCCGCTATCGCCCGCCTATCGAATCCATCTCTGGCTCTGCGCTGTTCGAATAACTCCAAATATCAATCCTCACCGCTGTTCGCCAAACCAAACCCTAATTTCTGCGTTTCACACTCGGTGGCCGTGAGTAAAGCGTCTCTAACTCTTAAACCACGCCAGAAGCAAATCAAAACAACACCATCATCACCTCTCCACGCCGGTCTCCGGAGAGACAGAGAGAGAGAGTCCCGATTCAATTTGGAAATCATGGAATAAGTTCTAGTACTCGTGAAAAAATCAGAACTTGGTCGCCAAAGACACCTGCTTTCTTCTTGAAAAGGTTCGTTGAATTATTCATATTTATCAGCGTTACGCTTCACCTTCTTTCCCGCATTGCGCTCCGTGTTTATTTGTTGAGGACTTTGTTTTTCTTGTACACGTACCGGAAATACTGAAAAATTGAGTTGAATTTGTTTTTGATACACCAGGATTTCTGGTTTCTGTTGATTACACTTGCAAACCGAATTAAGTTTCGACAGCTATAGTTTATCCACTAGTTTTTGCCAATATATCCACTTTTGGATGTTCAACGTTGGCTTTCAAAGTTTGTCTTAAGCTGACCAATAAAAAAAAAAAAAAGAAAAGAAATGGTGCACGAAATGAGGAATTTTATTTTGATGGTTACTTTGGGATCTGCATTAAAACTATGAACCCTGATTCTAATTCTCTGGTAACTTGAAGGAAAAAAGAAGGGTTTTGTCTTAAAAGGCTGAAGGGAGGTACTTGAAATGTTCAATTCAAGATTGCTTCAAATCTGCTCTGATATCTATAAACCCCAACCGTCCTTGCACGGATGGAACAAAATTATCTGCTCCCTACCAGAGTTAATGTATTGCTAGTCAAAAAGCATTTAGCGGGAAGTGTATTCTCTTATTAGTATTTATTATACAATATTCTGATTTGTTAACTTTTAGTTTTTATCCAACTTTTTTACTATGCTATCTCACAATTTTCCTTCAAACCTGTCGTCCAACACCCAATCCAATCCATACAGAACATCACCTTCAATAACAATTTCACCTCAAAAACATCAAAACATAAAACCTAAGAAGGAGAAGAAGAAAACCAAAAGGTTCACCCAATCAGCATAAGTTGATGAATTGCCTGTATTAATGACAATATTCTGAATTTTCCAGTATCTCAAGTTCTTAACTAAATATCAATTTTTCCACACTGTAATTTGGGAACTCCAAAAGTCATGTTAATAAATTCATCTCGATGTTAATAGAGATATTGTGGAGAATTGGCATCTTCAAATTTCATTTGCTCAACAAAAGTCTAGTTCATGATAAGTCAGTTTTGAATATTATAAAAGGAATCAAATAGCATTTCTAATAATTTTATCTGTCAACAATTTTTCTTAATGTACCTTTTCGTCCTGTGAAATACAGTTAAATTTATTACCTATGGGAATTTTGCAAGTCAATATGTTCATGGGTTGCAGAAAAGAGATACATATCAGTGTCATGGTTATTGTAATTTGTAGCAACACAAAAGTGATGCTATGGGTATTGTTGCCTCAGCTCAGCATAGAACTGATTGGGGAGTATCTGCAAGTACACTGAGGCAGCATCTTAGAATAATTGAAGATGATCCTGCCTATTGCTTGAATGGTGTTAGGTTTTCTGATTGTTAGTATTAATGTTTTTTATATTTTTCATTTTTCTTTCTAACAGAACTGTAAATCTCCTTGTTTTGTCCAGCAGGTGAGTAACTCACGAGTGTGGTGCTTTCTGCAAGAAAGCATGGGAAGCACTTTTAATCCTCAAATTTTGGTCGACAAGCTGTCAAAACTCAACAGCTCACAACAAAGCATTGAGAGTATCCTGTAAACTCCTTGATTATCCACAACACGTGCTCACACACATCCATATGTATCATGCTTCTGGTGCTTTTACACTGATTAAAGTTATATGCATTGATCATGGTGTTTATGCAGTTGCATGCATGTTAAACCTTTTAGATTAATCTATGCCTAGAGTATCTGTATATTATTTTAAATTCAATAAGTACTTTGTATAGAGGTTATTGCATAATCCTTATTTGTGAGCAAAATCCTGGCATAATAAGGATTTTGTCCACTTCTTTTGCTAAAATGAAGGTTAATTGTGTAGTAAAATTTACATGGGGCTCATGTTTTTATGTTAAAACTTAGGCACCGCATGTGTTATATCTTTTCTTTTTAAATCACTATTAAATTGATGGTTACATTATACTCCCTCCGTCCGCCTCTGAGGGTCATATTTATCTTTTGCGTCATTGTATTTAACATTAAAAATATTCTTATATTTGTATAATTTTTTGTACAAATGTCATTTTATTGGTATTATAAGACACTAATTGAAGTATTTTTGGAATTTTTTTTTTTTTTTTAAATTTGATTTGCGTTTTGATATAATAATTAATATATAAAGATCAACACGCAAAGAATAAATAAGACCCTCAGAGTCGGACGGAGGTAGTATATTACTTTTGGGCACTACATTTGTTGCCTTATCATCATTATTGAGACTATACATATGCTAACTGGAGAACAAATTGTCTCCTATCCTGTAGTCTTTGCCAATGTCAGGTGGTGTCTATGCTGTTGGATTCAACTCTTACATTATTTACCTTTATACCTTAAATTCACTGTTCTATTGTCTTCCCTTAACACGATTAAGCTTTATCTCATTGGTGCATTTTTCACATGAACAAAGCAAAGCAAGTTGTAGAAACATGGGATAGACAGTTTTATTGTGCCCCTCGTGAGCAAAGGTTGGCTTTTCTGTATCTTGCAAATGACATTCTCCAGAACAGTAGGAGAAAAGGTGCAGAATTTGTTGCAGAGTTTTGGAAGGTTCTTCCAGATTCATTGCGTGATGTAATTGAAAATGGTGACGGTTTTGGAAGGAATGCTGCTTTGCGCTTGGTATAGTTATATTCTTTCACAATTCTATTTACATTGCTGGAAGATATCTTATTTCTCCATTCAATGAAATGTTGATATGTCAATGACTAAGGAATAAAATACTCATACTGGCACATCAAAGATGAAAAATAGTGAAATGCTTATTCTTCAAGCCTCAGGAAATAAATATGCAAGTGAACCATAATGAAAATTGTGAGTTGGCTTATTCATCTCAAGCATAATTTGCATGAATACTTATCAGATAATCTAAGGTAACAATAATTGATTGTGGTAATTTATGAGAGATGTATTCTTTAGTTACTGATTATAACACTGTTTCTTGCAGATTAATATATGGGAAGAACGAAAAGTATTTGGCTCAAGGGGCCAAATTCTTAAGGAAGAGTTTGTAAAAAAACAACTGGACAATGGCAATAAAAACTGGAAGCGTGACGGACCTAAGCTGGTATTTCATGTCATCAAAGAATCCATTTTATGTACATGAGTTAGAATGTAATCTTTAATAATTGGTTCTTCATACATTTGCTAGCAGCGGTCTCCTGGTGGCATTGCAATTGACAAATTAATTTCTGGTTATGAAGCTGTCTATGGCAATCAAGTTGAGGAGGATTCCTTATTTAACAAATGTACAGATGTCATCTCCTTTTTAGAGAAAGTGGACAAAGATATTGGGGGTGATTATAGATTAGGTATAAATTTTTATTTTGGTGATTTCTATGCTATTGAATTTTCTTGTTCATATTGTTTACTGTAAATGCATTATTTGTATCCCCTCGTATTCTTTTTCGTGATTCGGTGATATTATTTGACTTTCAATGATGCGATTTGCATTGCTTTTTAGTTCTGTCTGGGCTTATAGTGGAAACAGGCTCATTTTCTAGACATAGAAAGATACTCTTTCGCTCATGACATGGCTTTGATTGTTCAAATTACCTTGGACAGAAGAGTTGAAGGAGCGGCATGCAGTACTGAGAGATTGCATTGAACAACTTGCAGTTGTTGAATCTTCTAGAGCCAACCTTGTATTACTTTTGCGGGAGGCTCTGCAGGAGCAGGTAGGTTGTTTGTTGCCTACATAGGCAACTTCAAACATATCTCTTTGATGTGCTATCTTCTTACTTTTCTTGCCTGATCTTGAAGTACTCTTATTGGTCATAGGAATATAAACTGGGTCAGGTCCGAGATCAACTTCAGGTAATAATAACTCATTTATAGTTGCTTGTGTAATAGCACAATAAAGTTTCCTGGTACATTGTTTTGTGAAAGAAGTCTAAAGAAATCAATCTAAAGAAGCCCCCATATATGAGAGACTTTAGTGGCAATTTAATGTGAAGACATAAATTTCCTCATGTCTTATTTGCCTGATTTGCTGTGGTTTATTGTTGAGTTGCAAAAGAGGATCTTTCTTCATAACAGTGAGGCACTTGTGTTTTGTGGTTCTTTTTTTTTTAATTATTATTATTAAATGTTGTTTTCAGTCTAATATGCTTGCTTTCATTGTTGATATACCGCTATAGAAGTCACTTTGGTTGTGATTAAACATGCTGGCTTCAGGGTGGGTAATATTTTAGTCCTAGGAAAAGACAGAATATATGACCATCCAGAATTAATTAGGTACTTTCAGTTAGTGGGTTTTAACCATTCTAATATTGCTGTTTCATTCTCAGGCAGCACAGACGCAGTCAGAACATGATGTTTCCAGGCAGCTTCTAGGTGGCAGTGACAGTAGGCAAGTTCATGGGGAAGACAGTGGAGCTGGGAATCGGTCAGCTCTCATGTCAGACAACTTCATATCTGGAGCAGGTGAGCAGACAACACCAGTGATCTACACACGGCAAGAATCTGGACACATTGAAGAGGATCCAAAATCAGCTGCTGCTGCAATGGCAGCAAAACTTGCTGCTTCAGCATCTTCAGCTCAAATGCTTACGTTTGTGCTTTCTTCTCTTGCATCAGAAGGAGTGATTGGCAAGAATCCATCTATAAAAGAGCCGCCCAATGAATATTCCTCAGAGAAGCGTGCTAAGATTGAGAGTGAACACCCTTCCTACATGCCTCCTCAAATCACCCAGGCACCAGTCCAACCCACACAGACAGTTGCATCTCAGGAGTTAAATCCCAGTGAGCCGAATCCTGGCCCCCACCTATCATCCCCCCCTCCAAATAATTTGCAGCCTCTGCAGCCGCCCATGCTACAATATCCAATGCCCCCCCAGTATTTGCAAGCAGCCATGCCATTGCTAAGTGGAGGACCGTATGGCTATGGCATGAGCCAGCAAATGCCAGCTCCCCCTCATGGTAATTATGTGTCAGTTGGGCATCTACCAGCTGTTGCTGCTGCTGAATTTTCTCCTCCGTCAAATGGCAGTTATCCCCAGCTACCACCCCCGCCACCAGAGGATGGTCTCTATTGTCAACCATCATCCATGCCAATGGCCCCCGCAAACAACCAGTAGGTGTTGCTAATATTGGCCTTTCCCTATGGGGATTGCAAGCAGTTTTAGAGAATGTGTTTTGGACTGTGTAGATAACTGAGAAACTTAGCTAATTTAATGACATTTGTGGAGGGGGGTTAGGTTTAGATGGTGTTAGTTTGTTGAGGAGTTAAAAAAGAAGTGTATTTGTTTGTGTACTGGTTGATAATATAATGGATGTAAAGGGTGATGGTGATGGTGATGGTGATGGTGACGGTGACGACGGTGACGGTAGAGTTGAAGAAGGATGGGAGAGAAATTTGCCGGTTATAAATTGGAATCCAGATGCAAGCGTTAGCGGAGCCGCTTGCATGTTGTATTTTATTGTTGTGTTGTATTTATTCTATCGTGGTAGTTTGATGCTGGTTTCCAGTGAGCCCAGCAAGCAAACTAATATATATATATATATAGTACATTCAATATATAATTTTTAATTAAGTCATTACACATTTGAAATATTTTCATATTTAAAATGTTATGTTTCGGGACACAGTTTTTATTAAAAATATCATATATGTATGTATATTATATTTAAAATGAAAATTTTCAAGCCCAATATGTGATGGCCCATTTGATATGCTCTGGTTTTGTCCGGATAGAGCCGACAGGGAAATGTGCTGTCGGCTAAAGCTCACAGAGCCCAACGAATATTAAAAATGGGCCCCATGTATTAGCGTTATGGCCCTATAAACAACAAAAAATTCAAAGCCCGGCTCATGACAGGGCTTCATTCGGTTAGTCCAGAACCGACAGGGCCACAGGCCCATCATACACAACCTAGTGCAGTATTCAAAAAACTGACAGGGACACGTGCTGCTGCAAGGTCCAATCCAACGCAATGATTTGTTGTCGCGGGCCTATGAGGCCCAGTATTTTAGCGGCGCGGGCCTATTGGGTCTAATATGTTAACGATATGGCCCAAATGACAGCGTCGGTTTTGAGCCGACAAGGCCACGTGTGTGCTAGGCCTATCCATCAGCTCCACGTGCTGTCTCCGAAAAATAGACAGAGGCACATGCAGTCGGCAAACTCCCAACAGAAGTTGTTTTAGCGAAGTGGGCCTACGAAGCGCAATAATTTTTTCAACGCGGGCTTCTTTGGCCCAATACTAACCGTTAGGTCCGTATAGGACAGGCCCTTAAGTGGTCGGTCCTGAGCCAACAAAACTGTAGATGCATACCCACCTGCTGTCTCTCAAAAACCAACAAGGCCACGTGTGCGCTAGACCTATCCATCAACTCCACGTGCTGTCTCCGTAAAATAGGCAGACTTACATGCTGTCGGAAAACTCCCGACAGATGTTGTTTTGGCGAAGTGGGCCTACGAAACCCAATACTTTGGCAACGCGGGCTGCTTTGGCCCAATACTAACCGTTAGGTCCATGTTGGTCCTGAGCCAACAGGAGTACAAGACTTCAGTTGCATACCCACCTGCTGTCTCTCAAAAACCGACAAGAATCTGGATTGTCAGTCTTAGTCCTGAGCCGACAAGACCACGTGTGCACCCAGGCCAGACTCATCCGACATATCTGCATGGATCACTTGCAGTCAGCCAACTTTTTGTCGCCAATGTCTTGGCGGTCGGATCGAATAAATGGACCATTTCAGCCTACGTTGTTCTTTCCAAGGGTGCATTTATTTGACAGCATTTCTAAATATTTTTTATTTATTAAAATTTGGATTTAAAAATATTAAATTTTAAATATTTATTTTTTAATTTTTACTTTTTATATATTATACTTAAAAAATTAATTTTAAACATCAACAGTACAAAACATCTATTTATATGTCAGACTTGCATCTTATCTATCTAACCAAGTCCAATTTATTAAAATTAATACTTAAAATTTAATATATACATTAATTAATAAAATAATAACACAAATTAAGATACAATTTGGTGGCAAAGAGATATAAGATTCAAAGCCGGCAAGAAAAGAGAAAAAACCCGAATCTCCACCGCAGAAAACCTAGGAACGCAAAGACGCTTCTAAATATACATACAATAACATAATTCAAATGCATCGAAACAACACCGGATGCTCATCTTAGGTTTTCACAAAATATCCATAATTTCCCATCAAGCTATAGTGTTATAACAATCCAACCATGATTTGCATAACAATCTCATCCATAATGACAGATTACCTACATCATAAACATACTGAAATTATAGAAGGGACAACCCATACTGTTTCATTCCATCAAGCTATGCCGCCATATTACTTCTGCTGTGCACATGCATTTTGGGCCTGCTCACCCAAGCCTGAAATGCGAGGAATATCGTCTTCCTTGGTTCCTGCAAGTTGGTTACACTTATTAGTATTATTAGTTTCGTAAAGGAAAAGATTGGGAAATCCAGAGCTGCTTCTCACCATGTTGATAGAATCATCATTGGCTCAGAGAATCAACCTTACCATTGGTACTCCAAGCTACTTTAAGCCGAGGTCGCTCATTTGCTTCAGTGCCTCCATATCTAGCCAAATTCTATACAACGTTATATGATTCTAGTAAGTTGTCCCATGGGTAATTACAACATGCAATAACATGTTTATCAAAAGTTCTAGATCAAAATTGAGAACAAACAGCTCTTTTAATCCACGAGATCCACCTGTGGCATCTCTTCTCCAAATATTATAAGCATGATGCATACTAATACATACATTTCCTATAAGCAAAGCATCAAAAGAACTGGTGTTCGTTCTTTTTCAGCGGCTAATGCATCATTGTTCAGAACTTTAGCATGCTCGGATTATAAAGAATTGGCGAGGCAAACATATGTTTGAAGTTCAGGGACTCACTATATGGTTGGTTTCAAAACTTTCCTCGTCAAAAGTCCCAGCCCAGTTGAAAAAACTTAGTAAGTAAAAGTCAATTGACCATGCCAGTGTACCATTTGGTGCATAGCAAGGTACATAACTCTGAGAAGAAGCCGGCTAATCTGAGGTAATGTAAGAGAAAGTAATAAAATAAAAGAGCTAACACCAAATCACTAACAAGTTCAAATTAGTAACATTTTCCAGTCAAGTTTGAATAACTGAATGCAATAGAACAATGTAAGATAGCTAAGGGTTCCCCTTTGATGTATCCAGATTCTTGATGATTCTAGTTTCATTAGCATAATAATCAATTTAGAAATGTAAATAGATAGCCCCGTATACTAATACATCAAGTTTCAAGAACGTAAGCAGAGTAGAGTTCTACAGGCATATTGAAGAACAAACATTCACCAAATTCATGACTACTAGTATTTCTTTATCACTAGAATTTAAAGCCTATAATTTGTGATTTGTTAGTTAACTTAGGCCATGTTTGCTAAGAGAGATATTCTATCCACCCCAATTATGCGTTTACTTTGATGTATTGAAATATGTAATTAATACTAAACTCAGTATATGTACATCCATATTATAGTAGATATGATAAAGTTAACCATTAAACTAGTCCTAAGAAATAATAATCACAGTAAATGTTCTCTTAGATAATCACAGCCGCAAGTCAGCATTTTTCTTGATATTCAACAAGGAATTCAAGTTGAGAATCACTTGACAGAACTATGTTTCTATAGTTTAACTGACTATTCCAAATGAACCCCTCAGTAACAAATAAAATAATAAACACAAGAATGAAATAAATTTTTGCTGATGCGCCATGATCACCAATAGGAATCCTGGTGGATTTAATACCTACTAGAAAATTTTGGAATGAGATTGGCAGACCTTGATTCCAATGCAGTTGAATTCCAAGAAATACAGTAACTTTAACATAATCTGAATGTGGTGAATTTGTAGCTACACTTGAGTGAGCTACTTACTAGTCTCAAGGGGCCTTGGTCAGGTGATACCAAAGAAGTGATAACTCTAGATGACATCTCATGTAGTTCCATCTTTTAAACTTTCATTTTTCTCAAGCTCTGTGTCTTGAAACTCTCCTGCAATTTAGTTTCAAATGCAGATCCTTTGGAATTATGTAAGATTCTGCAGCAATCAAATTACACACAGAAACCATAAGACAGGAAAATAGTAACAATGCATCTTAGCATATAAGATACAGAAAAAAAAAAAAAAAAAAAAAATCAAATGATAAGAGGTTTAATATTACCTCTATGCAGTTGCTGCTCCCATAGCTTCTCATGCTTGAATCCTCTCTCATCCTATGAGTTGTCCCACCCACCCAAATCACATAAAAAACCACTTAGCATCCATGTCATCTTTGACAAGTAGTGGAGCAAAAGAGTGAAATTTGAGTTGAATGCCAGGAGAAAGGCAGGAAGTACTAACCTTTTAGTACAACTACATGATTGATCCAAACTGCTTCCAGAAGACTCCGTAAATGATCGTTTTATCCAGATGACAACATAAGGAAAGTCCTTTATCACTATCTACACATAAAAAACAAAATGCACAATGGAAATAATTCTCTCATTAAAAAACAAAGCTATCACATACTAAAAAAGTAGAGACTTCCTTTTTGATCGACTATTGTTACAATAAAAATTTTATAGCAGCTACCCTATATGTCTTAGAGAATGGCCTCCATTGAAAAATCGAATAAGTTCAGTAGAGTGAAAGAAATACACAAAAACAAGTTCCAGATCACAACCAATTTAAATGGTTATGATCACACCTCGACAATGATGATACATGTCTGATTGTTTTACTTATATTCTTTCCTAATCTCCTTGATAGTTTAAGTTTACCACTCTACTTACTTCCCTGTCTTTCAGTAATTACTTGTAAATTCTTCTTGGGTTAATTCCGAGTCCTTAGCAAATGTAATCACACTATTTTAGTTACCTCGACATTCACACATACACAACTTCTTCGATGGTAAATGAATAGCGACAATGGAAAATATAAATGGCTAAAAAATAAATGAAAAAGAGACATCCTACATAAATTCAACACTATACAAATATTTCTTTGTTGATACTTGATAAAAAAAACTTCCAAAATACTAGAACACTTTATAAAGTTTTCTTTTGATATTTTTAGTTCAAAGAACAGGAAACACAAGTTCTCAAAATCAAAACAAGAGAACTCCAACCAAGAAATTTCAACTTGTAACATTGCGTTGCTCTCTTGAGTTTAAAATCCTTGCTGTGCCTCGGAAGCTTTCTCATCATAATGCTTGAAATGCAACTATAGTAAACATATCTTGCACCTATACAAAAAACCAGCTTTGAAAATAAATAAAGCATGAAGCATTTCACAGAAAAATCTGAGGCCATTTGATTCTAACTAATTTATAAGTATTTTTACAAGAATGAACAAAAATCTGCACGGGCAGTGCAGTGCCCCCCCTATAGTCATCCTCGGAATTCTCGCTAGTTCAAATTGCATCAGGAAGTATCACGATCATCCAATAAGAAGGGTTTTCATTTTTTCAAATGAACAATTTGAAGACCTAAAAGTCAAGGTTTTGGAACAATAATTGGTATCTTTATTACACTAGTTATACTATTTACTAGAGTTCTGCCGGTCCATATAGGAAAAGTGGTATGTAATCAAACATAAGCAACTAATTGTCTATTTGTCTCCAATGAAACGTGTCATTCGAGAACACGGGTGAGAATAAACTACTTAAATAAATTGAACATCAAAAACATGATTGTACTTTAGCTCAACTAAACAGTACAAATACCAGTATAGACTGTAGACACAAAGCTAGACAGATACTTGAATCTTTTCAATGGACAAGCAAATAAAACATAGGATTTGTTTGTTTAGTGTTTTGATTTAAAGAATTTTTTTAATGTAATGTATAAGAAATGTCAGATAATATAGAAAATAATATTTTAGGATGAATGTTATTTTGTGAGAGGATAATATATATTGAAAATGGCAAACAAACATATAACCAAGGAAAATAAATCAGTTCAAAATCTTAAGGAAGATAGTGATAAGTGAGAATTCACCGGCGTCCGAGTTCAACAATTACCAATCATAAAGTAACACCGTCGTTGTCGTAAGATTGTTTAATCTTTAAACTGTGATTTCCAACATAGAAACTAATAATCAAACAAAATAAAAGGAAATCATAGCACAGAAAATCCGGTAGCTGACTAAATAGTTGATGAAAACAGAAGAGACATCTTTATCTATACAGAAATACCTACGGGAATTACGAGCATACTGCTCCGACAAGTTCTTCATTAATATGACCGATTTTCGATAGCTCAACTACGCATAATCAAATATATTAAACTGATCTTTTCTTCGTGATCTGTTGCTGAAATAAAGTAAAGGAAAGTTTCAGAAAATTATATAAATAAGCATAACGCTACGACTTCCGGGCCTCCGGCGCGGAGCGAAGGCATGGACGGAGGAACAATGGATGAAATTACGAAAGCTGACTCTGTAGGGAGTGGTCTTATTGCTGAACTCTTCCGATTGTAATCGTCCGCCACTACTACCACATCTATCCAGCAGGATGTACACAAATTATTTGAAAATGATCATTCGTCGATGGGAGGTAGGAAGAGATGGCGCCGGCAAGCCGACGAACGAACTTGGGCCCTGTTAATGAGTAATGGGCTTAAATCTACTGTAGTAAATTTTATTTCAAAATATTGTTAAATTTTACGCAGTAAATATATGAACTTGGGCTCAGTTAATGAGCAATAGGCTTAAATCTTAAAATTTCAAAAACCCAGAACTTACGTTCTTGTTTTCAAATTTATTTAAGATATTGTTTTATTTTAACTGTGTGTCAATGTGTTTACTCGTGCGACTTTAGTTTTTATTATCTTAAAATAATTTTTTTTCCTCTAAAATATATCAAGTTATATACACTCTATATATTCATATTACATTGAATATAATATTTCAAATATAATATTTACTGTACGTTGAAGTAAATATATTTCATTAGCTGTGAAATTAAAACAATCAGCAAAGGTAAATTGTGTTTTTCAAATAACTAATGATCGACAATAATCAAGTGCAAAAATTGTGAAACAAAGAACACAATCTGTAATCGGATCTCTAGGTGATTCCATACTAAGCAAGAGCAAGCAAATTATACCTACACAAAGACTCCACACAACCAACCTCAATATCAACACGCTATTACCAACAGTAAGTGTGATCTCCTTCGCAAAAATGCCGTGACCTTTGTAGTTTGAGTCATACTGTTGTATGTCTTGTGTTGATCTCATTCTTCTCCTCCTCTTCTTTCTACATCAAGTAACTATCCAAAATCTTTCAGATATCCCCATGAAATTCAACTGAATAAATCGTCAGAACTTTTTAAACTTTTATCAAAACAATCCAAGTTTTGAACTGAACTACATAATTAACTCAAGAAAAACATGACTTTTTCACCAAATAAACATTTCTCAAGAATTGTATATCTCAAACCCATGAAAAGATCAAAGATAAAAACTCAATATAATGCAATAATCAATCCCATAATGTTTCTCTTTAATGGTGGACGAAATTTTCTCTCTGAAAGATGATAGCTTTCACTCAAAACTCTTAATTTCATCCACAAATTCGAATGCATTTAATATGTGTAGTATATAGGATCAAAATTCTCTTAAAATCTAAAAAAAAATGTTCTCAAAAACTATATCAATTAATTTATAATGAACTTGGATTTGACGTAGCCATCTCTCTTCAAATATCAATTTAATTCAGAGGTCTATTAAAAAAAAAAAAAAAAAAGCTCTCAATAATATAAAAACTAAAACTAGAAAAATAATAAAATAAAGAGGGAAAATAGATTGTCGCATCTCATCACAGAACAAAATAGTAATACAACCATTGGGCAATCAACAAAAGATGAAAATTGAAGAAGAAGGCTGAGTGGCTGAAGGTAGAAGATGATGTTCTCTGTGTTGATCCATACATCATGAAATTGCTAGAAACACTTTCTAAATTTTTTCTCAAATTTGATTCCAAAATTCGTAATACCTCTAATGTACCTCAAAATTTATTTTATTACTCCTAAGTGATTTTGGCTCAGATCATGCATAAACTTCAATAACAAACTTGCAGCAAATATAATATCTGACCTCATTGATGTAAAATACATCAAGTTTCTTACCAAACTTCCGTAAAAAAATAAAAAAAAAATAAAAAAAAATTACTTTCTTTCTATCATCATTTTTCAACAATTTTTCACCAATTAAAAGAAAAGTTTCAATAGAACTCTACAATCTTTCATTCTAAATTTAATCAAAATATTTTTAACATAGTTCTTTTGACAAATGAACACTACATCACCATTTTAATAAATTCATCTCACATCTCTTCCTCACATCCTTTTTAAACTCAAGAATCATCTTTTCATTATTTCTTATATAAAGAAAATCATCAACATAAAAAAAAAAAAAAAAAAAAAAAAAAGAGTATAGATTTATCTTGTGTGCTCATGTATAGGAATGACTGACTTTTTCTATGTTACTTTTAAAATAAGTATCAATATTTTTGTACCAAGTGCTTGCTTCAATCCGTTCAATATCTTCTTTAATTTGTATACTTTATTTTCATTGCCTTCTTTTAAAAAATAAAATTTCCAATTTTATTGGACTGTTACGAAGATAAGAGCTCGAATTGTGTTGAGTAGGGCCATCTGTGGAAAAGCTTCATTGAAATCAACTTCGGGTTATGACAAGGGTTTGTCACACGCTGCAAAATTTAAATAAAATAAATCTACAATAAAAATATAGATGAAATAGGGTCGTCTCCTCAGGGAATTAAAAAGATTTTATTTTTGATTTTCTGATTTATAAATATAAAAAAAAGGAGGGATTTTGAAAGTAGAAAATAAAAATAAAATAACAAACTAAAAACTCTAAAAATAAATTCAATAAAAACAAGTTTCCAGTCTATGAATGAAATTGACAAGTTGGGTAGTGGATTTGAATTTTATTGGTTTCTAAATAAATTAGTCGTAGTTACCGACACGCGCCTAATATTTAATTTCCCGTCAACTGCTTCCCTAATTAGACTAGAACCATAGTGATGCAACAAAGAATTTACTAGCCTAACCACTTTGTGAACTAGAAGTGCCTAACTCAATTTAATAATTACCTGTGCCAAATTGTTTAAAATTGATTCCGTGATTTCCTAATGGTGTTTGTCACTAGGTGTTACTTGAACCAAATTAAAACGTAATTACGGACGCTTAATTTAGTTTAACAATTAAAAGATTATAACTCAGAGAAATCAAAAACCACGTAAATACTTAGTAACCAAATAAATCTCATAAATCAAAACAAGTCTAAACTCTCAAATCCATACCAAGTTGTTTTCCAATCCTATACTAGAAAAATAAACTACTCGCTAATCATAGGAGGAAAAACAAAGAATATGGAAGCAAAGAGAAACATAATGATGTTGGTATGGGTAAAACTTGAAATGTTAGAATCTTTCCCCTTCCCGCCCTTACACGGTTTCTCTCTGGAACTTTTTTGCACGGTGTTCTCCTCGGTAAGTGGCATAAAGTGGCATCTTTCCCTTCTTTTTTTCTTTTATATTTGCCCTAATTTTGTAACAATCTGGCTTTGGACGTTTTTGTTCTTTTTGCCCACTAATTATATTAATTTTATTATTTTTCTTTTACAAATTATAAATAAACAATATATGCCAAAATCAGGTAGAATCTAATCAAAATCAACCAAATATTCAATCATACCTTCCCACTAATTATATCACGTCTTGTTCTTTTTTAATAGAATGAATCTTATCTTTCAGCTCTCCAATCTTTATCCTTGTCAGCTTATTCAAAGTTTATAAACTCCAAAACAGAAAAGTTGCACCTTTCATAAATATCATTCAAGCTCCTTAACTTCTTTGTAGTTGAGTCACGAAAGGACGACGATCTCAAACTCGGACTTGAGTATGATTGTGGACTACTAGGTGGATGGGTTTGGATGATCTTCTTCGCCATTTTTGTCTTCAGTTTCATATTCAAAATCACCCATATGAACCACTCCATTTTTCAATTCCCTTGTTCTTTCAAATCCAAGAAGGATTCTAATTAAAACATCACTACTAATTATAATTGTTCAGAAGCATGTAACTTTTCCACGTGGTGTTGTACCCGATATAGATGCATTGTCCACTCGCTTCGTCCAACTTCTTCCTCCTCTCTTTTGGAACCTGAGAATAACAAATGCATTCAAATATTTTTAAGTGCCTCATTCTTCCACTGCAGGCTTTCGAATGGAGTTTTGTTGTGCAAGTCATTTGTGGGACTTCTATTAATAAGTACACCGCTGTATTCACAATTTTGATCAGGCCAAACAAACTCTGAACTAATGATGGTAATCGATCCAAGCACATCCGAATACAATGTATTGCGTCTGGACAATCACATTGACACCAACCAACACGCAAAGTAGTACTCCAGTATTTTTTCTTTGAAAAAAAGGAAAGTAATGTATAATTAATGCATAAGATTACATGATACGTGTAAGTATGTTTGTTATGAGTACTTATGTATATCAATCAACCAATGATCAGCTTAGGCAGCTAGCACCGCCATGCAGACGCAGCAAGAATAGATCTATCCTGCCACCCCAACAGCAGGCATCCCCTGTCTTCTGTCAGCCTGTATCCATCACAAGAGTACAGTCCCAGGAGTATTTTGGACTGCGTCACCGCATTCGCGCTCAGTGGGACTCCTTGGAACCCTTTTCCTTCCATGATTTTCCTCCATTTCTCCAGCCTCTCGTGCCTCATTGTCCTCTCGGGCCCCTCCTGCGATACAATGTTCCTGATCTCCGGTGCCAATATGTGCTGCTCCACCTTTGCCCTCTGCGCTGAATCGGGCGGAAATGTCCCGTCCAGCGAGTCAAATATCGCCGAGTAGTAGTGCAGGGCTTCCAGGAACCTCCCCAGGAAGTAGGGCCCGTTGTGGCTGGCCTCTTGTTCCACTACTGTCACTATGTTTGGTGCTTGGTCTCTGATCATGGCTAGCAAGTTCCCCAGGCAGTTTCCGGGCACCCGATGGAGCCTGTTCACTGAGTTAACAGCCAGAGCCTCGCCCACCCTTCTGTTGAACATATGGGGTTTGAGATCCTCAAGTTCTTCCCCGACGGCATGAAACTCGAAGGGGACATGAAGAGAATGAGCTAGTTCAGTCAGACAGCGCCCAGTTTCCCTTACCGACTCCGGGGAGGGCCCAACTCCGGTGATCCGAAGAAAGGGGGCACCACCTGGCCTGGCTGCTAGAGCTTGCATGAAGGCAGGCCATTGGTAGCCCTGGAGGATATCGAGATCGATCACATGAACGCGCTCCTCAGCCTCAAATGCCTCAAAAATTGCCTGGTTGGCAGTGAAGTGGGCGAATTTGATGTAGGGGCAGGCCTGGTAGAGGATTTGATAGATCTTGAGGATCTCCAGGTTGTCAGGGGGGAAAGGATTGAAAGGCTTCAAGTTAGAGGAGGAGGAGGAGGAGCCGCCGCCGCCGCCGCCGCCGCCGCCGCCGCCGCTGGGTTTATTGGTAAGGGTAGCGGCAAGCCTTGCGGTGAGGGCTTCGGTGAAGCATGATGCTACACGCTGCATGGAATCTCCAAGGGGCGAGACCACTCTGTTTAGGTGGTGGAGATACCTCCTTGCTGACATGTAGTCCTCCTTCGATACAGCTTCTGCACAAGCAAGGAGGAGGTGCACGAGCTGCAGCCCGCTGTCTTGTTCCTACATGATCAATGTGGGTGCGGTTCATCCATCCGCATCACATCACGGGATAAGTAAGTAAGTAAATAAATAAATAAATATAATAGGAAACAATGGATTAGTGATGAAGCTCGTATTTTTATTTATTTTTTGATCGGAAATGATGAAGCTCGTATTCACTATTCAGGTGGTGGTTCTTTCATTGGAGAGAGAGAGAGGGAGAGAGAGCGCTTGAGCATTTCAAATTTGGAGCATCACCTCAGGTTCTGGAATTGGCACCATCAGCGTATTGTGCATATTTTGGAGTTGGTTTTGCTGCTGCGCCTCCTGTCTTTGAATTCTTGCTGGCGGCAGCTGTTGTTGTTGCTCGAGATGTTGTTTCTGGTGCTGCCGTTGTTCCCATTCCCGTTCCTGCTCCTGTTGCCTCTCCTGTTGCAGCTGTTGCGACAGTGATGGCGGAGCCTGATGGTGATGGTGGCGGCGGTGGTGGTGATGATAGAGAGAGCTGTGTTGGGACGCGGCCTGCGGGGCAGAAGCTTCCTCATTACTCGCAATCACTGTTGTTGAAGACCTTGCGGAATGAGTAGGCATTATTGGCAAGCAGTCCAACAGCAGCTCTTCTGAAGGCACCGCCGTGAGGACCTCATAGCCATCCCCTGAATCAGCAGCTGGCAGCTTGCCTGGCCAGGAAGATCCTGCTCCTCCTCCTCCTCCCACAAAATGATCAGCAGCAGCATCCTCCTCATCACCGAGAAGGGTGTCGAGAGATGGGAGGGACAGGCACTCAACCTGGTCAACGTGCATGAATTGGTTGTTTGGTGAGTTGAAAACCCTGTGGAGAGGGCTCAACCCCCTCGCCTTGCTGCTGCTGCTGGTGAGGCCAAGAGGGGAGGGAAACCGGGGAGGAGAGGCGGCGGCGGCGGTATACATGTTGTAATTGTGATGGTAGTTTGATGAGAGGGGGAGCATCATGTGGCTGTGGCTGTTGTTGGAATTGGTAGTATTGGTGCCGGTGCCGGTAGTGGTCCTGACAGGCGAGCAAATCATGAAATCGGTGGCCTCCAGTCCTTGATCGTCCGAGAATATGGATTCCCAAAGGGAGTAGTCAGGGGACTGCATTTCAAGGATGGGGTCTGCCCCCACATTGGGATCCTCAAATTTGAGAGCCGCCGGGACGCAGCAGCCTAGAGGAGGGGGATCATGTGCCAGGCTGCTGCTGCTGCTGTTGTTGAGGGCGGTGCTGAGGCTTCCCAGGGGCACAGGGGGGTTTGAGGTGTCGTAGTCGTAGGGGCCGAGGCCGAGGCTTCCTCCAGGAGAGGGGGTCTTCTTTGAGCCCCCAGTTGCAGGTGGAGGTGTGGGCTCCTCCTGTTTAGAGCTGCAGGAGGAGTCATCGGCCTGAACCTCCTCCTCCTGCTGCTGCTGCTCCTCTGCCGCCTCTACTAATGCAGCAGCAGCAGCAGCAGCAGCAACAGAGATCTTAAGATTTCGCATCAGGGTTGCGCTCATGCTAGCAGCAGCGGCAGTTGTTTCGCTCCCCATTCTAATGATGTGAGAAGAGGATTTCATTTCATGATCAAACAGCATTTACTTGCTCGACATCACCATCACCACCATCATCCCAAAATAGATTTCCTTTGAGATATATTTATATATTATTGAGGCTGAGGTTATATAAAGAGCGGGTAATGGTTTATTTTATTGCAGGCAAAAGAGGGGTGCGCGTGCGTGTTTGAGACTACAGACTAGAGAGTAGAGACTAAATCCAAAGGGGGATGTGGGGGTGGAGATGCAGACCGGACCGGACCAACCGATACGCGTAGATGCATATGTGGTTAGAGGTAGCGAGCGAATCAATGCACCGGCCGCCGCGCCTCCTCGGATCTAATCCCATCCCATCTGATCATCCAAAGATTCTCAACATTAATAATAATAAATAATAGTAATCATCATAGTACGTAATGATTAGTACTATGTATGATTGCAGCCAGCTAAGAAAGTCGGAGGGCCCACGCGGGAACAAGAATGGGGGGTTTTTGCTCCTGCAGCTGCAGCGTAGCATTGGAATTTCCCAGACAAATACGATGCAGAATATTACAATAATAATAAGGTAGGAAGGAAGGCCGATTGATTGATTGATTAATTAATTTGTTTGGAGGATGGAATGAATGACAAGAGTAGCCGACGATGAGGATGATGAAGGAAAGAGAAATCACGAGTGACGACAAGTGAAGAAGAGAAGAGACACGGAGGAAGTCGTGGACGGCCTGGCCTCATCCTTTGGATTTTGCCCCCAGGAGGGGAGGGTAGGGTAGGAGCTTGCTTGCTGCACATGCATAAATGTGCGCCATGACGGCAAAGAAAAAAAAAAATATTTGTTAATTGTGGTGGAAAATTTGGTATTATATAATACTCTCTATTTTTAGTAAGTTTATTTATTTTAATAAATATAAATTAATTTGATTAACCTGTTAATTTATTTAAAAATCTCTATTTTATTTATTTATTTATTTTATATAAAATTATATATTTTATTAAAATATAATGTTAAAAATATTTAAAATAATAACTATATTATTATTAATAATTGAGAGGAGACTAATTGAGTTGAGGCTCTCACCCAGAGCAGAGAGATATTCATTCCTCTGCCGACCTGCCTGCACATCATCCCTTGATAAATAGTCATTCGCAATTGCCGCTTCTCTTTCGACATGTCAATTAACTTCATCAATGTCTCTTTGGCCGCAACAAATAAACAACTGCTAATCCAATTAATGTATTATAATATCGTATTAGAAGAAAGAAGAGATATATATATATATATATATCCATCTATCTATCTATATATGCAGTGCTACTTCTAGCCGGGTTCAAACTTCAAAGTCCTCTCCACCCCCCTCCCTCTAACGATATATCTTCTTCCGCGCCTCTCCACTCCTCTCCTTTCTTAATAATAACAATAACAATAATTATCATTTACTTGCATCAGAAGAAAATCAGATGTTTTAAGTTTACTTGATTTGTTGTTTAGTGGCAAAATTTTAGAGGTGTGGAGGTCAGAATAGATTGCCAGTTCAAGCCAATTTCTCCGAGACAACAAGTCGATATGGGATATTATACAAGCTGGAAGTGGTGGGCTCTGCTGATAATAAAGTGGTTGTCTTGTCGGGAACACTGAACAGGTGCAGGGCAAGGCTAGTGTCCTCTAGTTCATCTTCTCACAACTGGTGTTGCAGCTACTAATCATCGAATCTGATTACAATCCAATCCAGCAGGCCAGGCCAGGCCAGGCCATCTCTTTAATATTTGATTGTGGAATGGATCCGCATAGAAATATGGGACCCTGTCTATTTCACACAACAATCATAAACATAAACATGACACCACAACACAACACACCAATTTTGCAGCTTCAACACCAGACCCAGTAGTGATACTGATACGGTACAACAATCAATAAAGACGAATAAATATGCCAACTTACTGTAGCTGCCTGCCTCGACTATGAGTTGCGACTGAAAAAGCCAATCAGGATGTTCCTCCGCCAGAACTATCCATCCATCAATCCCAGCCCTTGAGTAAATAAATATGCAAACATCCTCGGATTCTCCTCCTACATTTAGGTAGGTAGTACCTTGGTTGCCCATATCGCAGCAGCCGCCAACCAACAAGTGACCATATGCCATCTCTTGAATGTATCTAAGCAAGCAAGCAAGCAGTTAGTGAGATATCAGAACACCAAATGTTTGGCATAGCGTACAGCACAAGGAGTGATATGCACAATTCCAGTCAGAACCAGTCCACTTCCAGTATGTGATTCACGCCACCAGCCACCAGTGGTGTGGTGGTAGGTAAGGCACATAGAAAGGACCAACAAATTGTTAGCTACCATCGATCTACCTCACCTTGCCTCACATCCCCATAACTACAGAAATGGAAAAACAGAGCAGAGCAAACTGTTCATCTTGATATGATGAAACTGCACCCTACATTACCTAATAATTAAGGCTGTTCAATCCAATGATCACAGAAAATGCCGATGGTAAGGAGTCTTAACAGAAAATGAAAGCATGCATGTACATGTAAAATGCAAGGTTGCGTCGTGTGAGATATACAAACTTTACTTATTCAGTCTGAAGATGAAGGGGCAAAGGACATGCATATGGGTGGGTTAATCCTAAAGATGGAGAGAATGGCAGAAGGTACAGTCCATATCCCGTCGCCGCATATCAAACCCGATGCAACAGCACCTGCATAATCTTCTGCACCTTTCGCGTTCAGACGCTCCCACACAAACAATATCACAGTACCAATAAACATGTCAATTGCAAAGTAAGCTCCAATGTAAAATGGCACCGCCATTGCCATTGGAATAGGAATGAACTGTGAAAACCTTTTCGGGGCTAAATCCCTTAGAAGATTTACAGCCATTGCAGCCACAAAGAAGCCAAAGCACATGGCCAGGCAATGTTTTGGGAGTTCAGAGAAGCCCTCTACCCCCAAAATGGCCATTTCCCTGTATATCACAGCATATGGGGCTTTGTACGGACTATCAGGAGACCCAATATCAAAGGCACTCCAATACAACCAAAATGTAAGGGGTGCAATCACACATCCCATTGCTGTTCCCACCAATTGACTGACAAACATTGACTTTGCTGATGAGAGGGTGAGGTACCCAGTCTTAAAATCTTGCATTAAATCAGCTGCAGTTGAAACAATTGACATCATAACACCACAAGCAGCCAAACCAGCTATAACCCCACCACGGTTTCCCACAACCGAAGCGATAATAAAAAGACCAATCTTTCCATATGTAGAAGCCAAGCTCCAGTCTGTCAACCCAGTCCCATAGGAGTTGCAAAAGGCAAGGGCTGGGGCAATAATGTATGAACAAAGGACTAAATACCACTTTAGAGGTGGAAATAGCATTGGCATTGCCACAATTGATATGGCTGCGAGTGCAACATATCCCGATGCAGCAAACCATAAAGGTATCCTATCTTTGAGGAAAACTTCATCACGTTTCTTTTGCTCCAACAGTAATTTGGTAGCTTCATCTGTCAAAACACAAAAGTAAACTGAAAATTATAAAACCTTACAGAAGTATATAGCACACATAAGACAAACATCAGCTTTCAATTGATTCTATGCTTATGTGAAATGACTAAAAAGTGCATGATTTAGAAGAGAACTACCAATTAAAGGGTCATTAGAGAAAGAGTAGGACAGGTTCTTCCTTTGATCAATTTGGATGAAAGAACGATTTAAGGTAGGCGTTTGAGATGAATTGAAAAAAGAATGATTTACAAAGCCATTCCACGAATACTCAATATAGTAAAAATACAATAGATGGGTCTGAAACACGGTGTAAATTTTAGTTTTTAAAAAAAGTACAATGACTTCATTACCATGATTTTTCAAATATTTCCATCCAAAGGGAACCTACGAGAATTTCGAGTTTGGAAGACTTGTAAATAAGAGAACATGAAATGACTAAGATTGAAACAAATCTAGATAAAGAATAAATATGCCATATAAAAAGGGAGACAACGTGAAACTGAAAGTAAGATACATTGTGAATAATTTACAGACCATCATACCAATTAGAACATGACACAATGAACAAATACATCCAAATATTCATTTGGACGGGAAAATTTTAGAGTAAATATTTGGAATCTCTATCATAATAACTGGCATCTCTTTGAATAATCAAATTTGGCAAGTTATTTGTAAATCCTTCCACTGTGATTTTGATTATATTATGTACAGCAGGATCATGTTGAGATTTTTTCATCTTGCATCTACTTTAAATTTTTTTTATAAAATCCTTTCACCTAATAATATTTAATCACTTCAATTGAAACATTTATGATTTGGGTTGATAATCCTCACCTGTGACATCATTAAACGTCGGAAGGCTTTGGCTGTTTCTACACACTTCCTTTATAGTTACTAATATGATTTTAATCAAATTGTAAAGACCATCACCAAGGATAAGAGAAATAGCTATGAAAACCTGTAGAAAACAAAACAACCGGGTGGTTATAAGCCAAGCCACTGCTTGAAAAAATAAATAAACCTTCAAAGGAAACCAAAAAGTATCAGAGAACACAGGTTGATAGGAACTCAATAAGTTACCACCTAAATCAAAATGAAACACCCGCTGGTTAATTTCTCATTTTGAAAGGTAAGGCAAACATTAAAATCACTAAAACTAAAACTTCGAGTATATATCATCATAGAACCACTCATCGTCCTATCTTCTTTTTCCTTTTATTTTAATTTACTTTTAAAATGGGTATATGAAATTTAGAGTTCTTATGCATAGCAGGTATGTCACAACTGCATATAATAAACGAGAAACGTAGTTCATTTCTTCCATCCAAGGAAATATTGTTTGTAAAATAATTTATTCAAGGTACCTTGTATCCATACAAGCCTTTGAAATCATTGCTATCAAGATTAGCGGGATACCAATTGCCTGCTTGTTGTGATATAAACGGCCAAAGAAAACCCCATGATATGATAGCTCCCAGAAGAACAGAGCAATTGACTATATGAGGACAAATTAGACCGCACCCAACATATGTTGGACTAAAATCAAAATAGAACCTGCATTGAATGCCAATTTTTAAGATTAAACACCTTAAAGATAATTCTTAACAAAACTCCAGATATATATGCTGGGAAATAATGAAAGATCCAAGGGTTTACGAATTCTTGAAGAGAGTCAATCCAAAGCTGGGGAAATTGTCAAATCCACATGAATCACCAACACCACTAAAGAACCATTTATAGCAGCTCCAGAAGAAACTTATGCTTAAATATTTTCCAAGACAAAACACCTGCTTTCTGCAAACATTACCAAAATAAAAAAGAAAAAAATTGGCATCTATGATAATCATGAAGATGGAAATCACAAAATGCTGGAATCACACTCACATCGTTTACCACAACAGTGATAGTTAGGTGCAAAACACAGTAGTCTAGAATATGAATATAGCAGAAGATAAAATAGAACTAGACAAAGATGGCGAAGGCTGTTCACCCTGCAAGTTCAGCTCCAGTATTAGTATGGAAGCTATTGATCAACATTGCAGTAGCAGTTCCACTGGGGTAGGTCAGTTTATAGCCCAAGACCATGACCTAAATTTCAGGCAAACATATATTTAGAGACGAGTTCAACGAAATTACACTGATCTTTTAAGAAGAACTGTGAGCAAAAGCAAGCATTTCTATTAAACCGACATCAAAGTCACAATCTACATGTGGTACTCCATAACTGAAATAAAATTTGATATTCACATCACTTGAATTCATAAATGAATCTGCATAATTAAGAAACGGGCAGGGACAAACTTGGGTAAAAATGACATGAATGCTAGCAGCGGATACCTCGAATAATTATTTTAGTTTATAAGTTCTTATTCTGAATTAGATTACCTTCCGAAGAGGGACGAGGCTAAATAGGCCCAGAAAACTAACAACAAATATAAAGGCCATCATCCACAGTAATCCAGGGTTCTTTACATCCTCTGCCCTATTGCCCGGATAATCTTCTCCAATCAGCTTATACGTTTTCTCATCCATAGAAAGCAAATAAGATCCAAACCCCCCTGTCAGCATAATTTGAAAGGAACCAAAGGGGAATGAATGAATAGATAGATAGATAGATACGGGCATCATGGTATACGCATGAACCCAACGACATTCCGAGTCCAGCCAGGGCAGGGGCAGTAGGAAACAACATTAAACACCAAAGGGAAGGGAAGGGAGAAATAACATAAAATATTTACCACTGAAGGCGAGGCCGTAGCAGGCTACAACGCAGGTTTGAATGACGGTGTTCTCCTGCCGCGTGAAAGGTTGAACTGAAAGCCCTAGCTTGGACAAAAAGGCGGTCCATGATTTGACGAAGAAGAAGCCGAGCAAGCCAGCGGCAACGTTGAGGGAAGGGATGATCCCAACGGTAAGGTTGAGTTTGTGCGTAATTATACAGAAGAGAGTACCGAGGATAGCACTGACAAACAGGCCTCTGATGGTGATTTGATCCTTCCATTCGGGGATCTGTTCCAAATCAAGGTCATCGTCGGCCTTGGGTTCATCGTGGAGCAGCAGCGGCTCGGAGATCTCAACGGGGGGTTCTTGCTCTGCTGCCATAGTAGGGTAGGGTAGGGTAGGGTAGGATAAAGAGCCGATAGTCGTCGTCGATAGCCAAGAGAGAGTGGCTGAGTTATGTATGCAGTTGACTCGAAGGGTGTGTTTTATCCTATTTTAACAAATTTCTTTTATTTATTTATTTATTTATTATTATTATTATTATTTTAATTATAAAATCATTTTTTATTATTTATATTATATTAAAAATTATTTTTATATTCTAAATATTGTATCAATTTATTACTATATTATAATTATTGTAATTTAAATTTTTAACACACTTATTTTTTATTCGAGGGATGTTATTAATAAAATAGCTGCGGTGGTAGGTTGGGTGTGACCGCTCCCTTTTTTTTGCTATCCGGCTTCGATTCCGTTGGGCAGGTGGGTGGCGTGGCAGCGGAGAAGACGTTCTTTCAATATTGATTTTTACAAATTACTTTCTATTGCAAAATTACTTGCTCCACTCACTTTTTTCTTTTATTATCATAATAAGAAATTTTGTTTTATTTAATAATAAAATATCACATTTCCTATTCTTTTACTTAAAAATAGAAATTTTAAGTATTGTTTTTTTAAATTTGTATTAGATCAAATAGACATAAATATAAGCTTCCAGGTATTAAATTCGATTGGACAATTTATTTAATATGCACTTTTTTTTAAATAACAGTTGCTGCGAATTCTCACGATATTAAAAACAAAAAATACAAGATGTATATAAAATATATTATAATATGACATGACATGACAATCTAAGATATTAGTATACTCATGGGATGAAATTGAATGAAAGCATTTTGACTGTACTGCATATATATTTAAGATATTAGTACTGCATATATATTTAAGATATTAGTATACTCATGGGATGAAATTGAATGAAAGCATTTTTGACTGAACTGCATATATATTTAGGTGTCAATAATAATACTTACTCTGCAATGATCATTTCTTTTTCATGTCTCATAACATATAATTATTTTCTTTTTAATAAATTTATTTATTTTTAATAATACTTAATAAATTTCTTTACTTTTATCATAATTTAATGAATACATATTTTTATTTATATTTAAATTTTTTTAATTTTTTTTATAAACTAAAGAAGAAAGAAAGAAAAAAAAAAGTAGATATATTTCATTTAACATCAAATTCAAATTTTTAATATTTAAATAATTTTTTTTTCTTGACAAAATATTTTACCTTCTATTATTTTAATATTAAATTAAAACTATTTTTTTTTTCTCAAAACTCATAGAAAGAAACATACATGATTTGGTTTGACCGAACAATACATGGTGTGTTTGTTCGGATATTAGATTTTAAATACAATGTTCATCCTATTTTTTTTTTTAAAAAAATATCAAATCAAACACCTATTTTTTATTTTAATATCGCATCTAACATCTATTTATATCATATCATACCTGTTGATGCAATTTTTCAACAATAAAAAGTAAAATCCGAAAATAGAAATTATCTTCGAATTTGATAAAATAAATGCCTGAGATTAGAAATCCCTAAGCACTACATATACATAGATAAACCAGGAAAAAACAAAAAAAAAACTAGAAAAGTAAAGTGGTAATCCCCAAAAGCAATTCTCTTGAATTTGATGTCGATTGAAGATTGTTTTTCAGAACAGACTTGAATCCTTAAATAACTCTTTAAAAAAACGGTTTAAAGAAACGGTTTGAACCGCCGGCTGGTCGATTACAGCAACCGCTGTCAACCGCCCAAAAAGTCCTCTTCTGTTGACACGTATGTTAACCAACTAACCAACCGCTCACGCCAGTTACAGCACTCAAATGTCTCGGTCGACCGCTTTTGAAAACCTCACCGCCTTAAATGGGCGGCTAGTCCCGACCGACTACTCAACCACCCAGCAATAACCTCTGGCTTCTTAGACTGGTCGCTAGACCAAACGACTCATCGGCCGTCCCATCAAGCGACCACCATCTGATTTCTCCAATCGGCTGAACAATGAATCATCCGGACGATTCAATGGTCGCCCCAACCAAGCGACTGAACTACTGTTTACTTAAGTAGGCGACCAATTAACAGACCTTTTTTCGACCGACCTCCGTATCATCTGTCATTCTTCGCCCGACTTCCTCTTTCGACCGACCTCCGTATCATCCGTCCTTCTTCGCCCGACTTCCTTTTTCGACTGACCTCAATATCAACCGTCCTTCTTTGCCCGACTTCCTCTTTCAACCGACCTCCGTGTCTGATCTTATCTTGTCCGACCTCCGAGCCCGACCTGATCACGTCCGACCTCAATGTCCGACCTTATCAGGTCCGACGTCCGTGCCCGACCTTATCACATCCGATCTCTGTGCCCGATCTTATCTTATCTGATCTCCGTGGCCGACCTTATCATGTCCGACCTCAGTGCCCGACCTTATCATGTCCGACCTCAAAGCCCGACCTTATCTTACCGACCTGAGTACGTATTGTTTTTCCCTTCTTCGTCCTAACCGACCTTCGTGTCTGCCATCTTATCCTTCGCCCGACTTTTAATCCTGACCGACCTCATCTTGCCCGACCTTCGTATCGGCCGTTATCTTTCCTTGTCCGACTTTCTTTTGCCCGACTTTTCGGTCGTTTGGCTTATATTCAGACCATCCAGAATCCTACTGCCATTATTTATTATTATTATTATTTGTGCTCAACAACTTGCCTCCTCCCGCCCAACTCCTAAGCATCACTTCTCGGGACATTTAGGAGTTTGCAGGCCAGCATCCGAGGCCACGTCAGCCCCAGATCCGACCTGCATCATCCGAGGTCACGTCAGCCTCTGATCTGACGTCCATCTATTGCGTACTAGTGGTGGCCTGCGCGTTGGTCGATCTCGCATTATAATTTCAGCCACCATTTCTTCAACACCTCCCCCTTGTTCGTCGTCTGGTGGATGCGTCTCTCTAAAGAAACAGTTTGAACCGCCGGCTGGTCGATTACAGCAACCGCTGTCAACCGCCCAGAAAGTCCTCTTCTGTTGACACGTATGTTAACCAACTCACCAACCGCTCGCGCCAGTTACAGCACTCAAATGTCTCGGCCGACCCCTTTTGAAAACCTCGCCGCCTTAAATGGGCGGCTGGTCCCGACCGACTACTCAACCGCCCAGCAATAACCTCTGGCTTCTTAGACTGGTCGCTAGACCAAACGACTCATTGGCCGCCCCATCAAGCGACCACCATCTGATTTCTCCAATCGGCTGAACAATGAATCATCCAGACAATTCAATGGTCTCCCCAACCAAGCGACTGAACTACTGTTTACTTAAGTAGGCGACCAATTAATAGACCTTTTTTCGACCGACCTCCGTATCAGCCGTCCTTCTTCGCCCGACTTCCTCTTTCAACCGACCTCCGTATCATCCATCCTTCTTCGCGGGACTTCCTTTTTCGACCGACCTCAATATCAGCCGTCCTTCTTTGCCCGACTTTCTCTTTCAACCGACCTCCGTGTCTGATCTTATCTTGTCCGACCTCCGAGTCCGACATGATTACATCCGACCTCAGTGTCCGACCTTATCAGGTCCGACTTTCGTGCCAGACCTTATCACGTCCGATCTCCGTGCCCGATCTTATCTTGTCTGATCTCCGTGGCCGACCTTATCATGTCCGACCTCAGTGCCCGACCTTATCATGTCCAACCTCAGAGCCCGACCTTATCTTACCGACCTGAGTACGTATTGTTTTTCCCTTCTTCGTCCTGACCGACCTTCGCGTCTGCCATCCTATCTTTCTTCGCCTGACTTTTAATCCTGACCGACCTCATCTTACCCGACCTTCGTATCGGCCGTCATCTTTCCTTGTCCGACTTTCTTTTGTCCAACTTCTGGGCCGTTTGGCTTATATTTAGACCCATCCAGAATTCTACTGTCATTATTTATTATTATTATTATTATTATTATTATTATTTGTGCTCAACAACTTGCCTCCTCCCGCCCAACTCCTAAGCATCACTTCTCGGGACGTTTAGGAGTTTGCAGGCCAGCATCCGAGGCCACGTCAGCCCCAGATCCGACCTGCATCATCCGAGGTCACATCAACCTCTGATCTGACGTCCATCTATTGCGTATTGGTGGTGGCCTACGCGTTGGTCGATTTTGCATTATAATTTCAGCCACTATTTCTTTAGCACCTCCCCCTTGTTCGTCGTCTGGTGGATGCGTCTCTCTAAAAAAGATGCTAACCTCTCCGTCTTGGATGCTAAGCTGGCCAGATCTTGAATGTCATGGGCCGTTAAAGCCTCCCGCAGTCGCGTGTGCATATTCCTGACCACCAGGTTGGTCATCTCGCTCTCCTCAATGACTGTCGGGCAACGCCTCTTCATTAGACGTGTCCTTTCGATGAACTGTGAGGCTGACTCTTCTGTACATTGTTCCATTTCCAAAAAATCTGAAAGAGAAACGGCTGGTAAATGGTTGAAGAATCTAGCATGGAACGCCATCTCTAAACCTTCCCATGTTTGTATTTGCCTAGGTGGCAGATTCACAAACCATGAAAAAGCTGTCTTGGTAAGAGACAAACCAAATAGTTGCAGTTTATAAAAAGAGTTATTACCGACTTCTCCTAACTGTGCTGTGAACCGACCCACATGCTCTATGGTGGAGGATCTGTCTTCTCCTGAGAAAGCATGAAAGTCTGGCGGTCAATAATTCCTTGGGAGAGGAAAATTGTTAATGATCATTTCTGGAAAAGGTCTCTGATATGCCGGCCTATTCATCGTTTGCGGATTCATTCCGAAATGCACCCGCAGAACTTGAACGATGTCTTCCGAATCCACTCTAGGTGGAATAGGATCGAACACCGGAATGGGATTATGGGTCTGTCCCTCCAACCTCTCTTCCCTAGAGAGGGTTGGCTCGGCTAGGATGAGATTATGAGTCTGTTCCCCAAACCTCTCTTCCCTAGAGAATGCTGGTTCGGTTGGGATGGGATTATGAGTCTGTTCCCCCAACCTTGCTTCCCTAGAGAAGGTTGGTTCGGCTCTGACATCCAATGGAACATTATTTGGGTATGTCAGAGGAGTTTTTCCCATGTCAACCCTATAGTAGCACTTGGCAGAGTGCTGTCTACATATGAAGGCCCTGCAAAATTTGCTTATAATCTGGATGGTGACATCCTTGGCTGTGACTGAGTAGGTTGCAGAGTAATCCTTGATAAAGCCTGATCTAGCATATTTTGCATAAGGTTTTGTTGCTCACGCAACATGTTTTGCATTGCCAGAGTATGCTAATTGTTTAATTGTTGAATATAAGTCACCCAATCAGCAGGTACTTGTGGTACTTCCCCTGCATTCGGCATAGCAGGTGGTGAAATTGTTTCCCCAATTGGTGTTGAAGAGACTTGGGGTTGTGAGCCTGCCATATGGATCTTTTTGATGATTCGGCCGGACCTCAGTCGTATAAAATTCTCGCTTGACGTAGGATCAACAATCTTGCCTTTCTCCTACTGTGGTCGCCAAATTGTTGATGCAATTTTTCAACAATAAAAAGTAAAACCCGAAAATAGAGATTATGTTCGAATTTGATAAAATAAATGCCTGAGGTTAGGAATCCCTAGGCACTGTAGGATACATAGATAAACTAGGAAAATAAAAAAAACTACAAACTGAAAAGTAAAATGGTGATCCCCAAAAGCAATTCTCTTGAATTTGATTCAATTGAAGATCGTTTTTCAAAACAGACCCGAATCCTTAAATAAGCCTTTAAAGAAACGGTTTGAACCGCCGTCTGGTCGGTTACCAAAAAGTCCTTTTCTGTTGACACGTATGTTAACCGACTCACCAACCGCTCGCGCCAGTTACAACACTCAAATGTCTCGGCCGACCGCTTTTGAAAACCTCACCGCCTTAAATGGGCGGCTGGTCCCGACCGACTACTCAACCGCCCAGTAATAACCTCTGGCTTCTTAGACTGGTCGCTAGACCAAACGACTCATCGACGCCTCATCAAGCGACCACCATCTGATTTCTCCAATCGGCTGAACAATGAATCATCAGGACAATTCAATGGTCGCCCCAACCAAGCGACTGAACTCCTGTTTACTTAAGTAGGCGACCAATTAACAGACCTTTTTTCGACCGACCTTTGTATCAGCCATCCTTCTTCGCCCGACTTCTTCTTTCGACAGACCTCCGTATCATCCGTCCTTTTTCGCCCGACTTTCTTTTTCGACCAACCTCAGTATCAGCCGTCCTTCTTCGCCTGACTTCCTCTTTCAACCGACCTCCGTGTCTGATCTTATCTTGTCTGACCTCCGAGCCCGACCTGATCACGTCCGACCTCAGTGTCCGACCTTATCAGGTCCGACTTCCGTGCCCGACCTTATCACGCCCGATCTTATCCTGTCTGATCTCCGTGCCCGACCTTATCATGTCCGACCTCAGTGTCCGACCTTATCATGTCCGACCTCAGAGCCCGACCTTATCTTACGGACCTGAGTACGTATTGCTTTTCCCTTCTTCGTCCTGACCGACCTCCGCGTCTGCCATCTCATCTTTCTTCGCCCCACTTACCTCATCTTGCCCGACCTTCGTATCGGTCGTCATCTTTCCTTGTCCGAATTTCTTTTGCCCCGACTTCTGGGCCGTTTGGCTTATATTCAGACCCATCCAGAATCCTACTGCCATTATTTATTATTATTATTATTTTTTTTTGTGCTCAACAATACCACTATTCAAATTCAAAATTTTTACGATTTGAATCTCAACTCAAAATCCAAAACTCCAAATAAACACACCCATCGTACACAGCACCCTTGGTTGGTTGGTTGGTTTGTTGACTGTTGTATAATCTCTCTCTTTTTTCTTTTTTCTTTTTTCTTTTTTTTTTTTTATGACGTGCGCACCGGATAAATCCCAGCCGAATCTAATACCCTGCAAACCAGGTCCGATGAAATACCGGACAGGTAGGATTATGGAAATATTGTCTATTCATTATACAAATCAATTTCCATCGATGGGATCAAGAATAAAATAAAATAAAAATGCAGGACAGGACAGATAGGACCTGATCACAACCCCCAAACTCAATTATTTACCATTTGTCCGTTTGCCAAAAATGAAACAGATGCCCTCAGCCCGTATCAGTATGGGCCTTAAGGCCGTGTGTATGTATGTATATTCGTCTACAGATATTGTCGAGCATGCAAGTCCAAATGCTCATATTGCTGATTGCTGATTGCTGATTGCTGATTGCTGATTGCTGTGCATCCCTACTTACTTACTACTACTACTACTACTACCCTCTGTCAAGAATGTGAATTACGTAACCATCTTTCTAGCTAGCTTAATACTACTACTACAGCTACTGCTGATTGCAATTTCCGCATACACACATATATACCTACATGCATGCTCTCACACCAATTATTCATATCATATCTACGTCGTCCTGCCATACGTACACTACATGTCAGTCAGTCACTTCAAAAGAGAGCCACGGCAGCAGAAGAAGAAGAAGGAGGCAGGCACAAACAAACAAACACCATTTCTGCCTGTCTGCCTGTCTGCCACTGTCAAATCTTATATACATAAATAGCAATCTAGTTAGTTGGACAGTTATGCTATTTAGTTATCACTTTCTGCAGCTTACCATATATAGGATAGGATAGAGGAGAGATATATATCGTCAGCCCATATTTATCCTACATTAGACAAGACTAGACTAGACTGGACTAAACTAGACTAGATCAGACTCAGCACGAACAGGCCAATGAGTTCTTCCTTTCTGCACTTTGCATCCATAGTAGTCTAGTCAAGATTAACACACACACACACACACATACCTACATGAATGATTAACATAAATTCAGAAGCTATCGATTATTATTGCCGATCGAGTGCACACCATCGTTCGTTCATTCTAAAAAAACCGCACCAACTTTATAGGTTTGGCATTGCATGGTTAGCATCACTCATATCTCTATATATATATATATATATATCCTGATGATGATGATATGATAGATACTATGCTGACAAAAGTGCTTGTCCGACGACATCTCAATCCATTCCTCTCTCTCTCTATACTCGAACACCATAGACCCTTCTAGGAGCCCTGTCCTTTCCATATCTGAACAGAGGAAGAGAAGAAAAAAAAAACAGCACTTCATCCCGTCGACAAGATGTACAGTAAATCTTCACTTTATAAGCATTTAAACATTGAGTTGTATCAATCTTGAGGCTGCAGCTCTCGTCTCGGTCTCAGACATAAGAACATAGCTAAAGATGAAGGTAAGCCCCAACCAAGTCTTACTGGAATTATACATACATTAATTAATGCAACTCAGATTGTGTGTGTGTCTATCTGTCATTCTAATTAGTTCCTTGGATGGATGCACCGTAAGCTGATGCACACTGGTGCTGACGAGCCAACGAGAAAGAGCAAATTAGGTAAGAATTCCCCAAGGAGCGGAGCAGAGCGTACGTACATCTATCCATCTATCTATCTGTCTAGCATGCATATATACATATAGTGTTAGTTATTGATGTATAAGCTAGCTAACTCACTCACTCACTCACTCATGTAGGGTGTAGCTAACAACAAGCATTTTGGCTTTCAGGATCCCCTTGTTTATCACAGAAGACTCTGTTCGATCAACAGCATTACTACTGCATAGTGCCGAACAAGTCCTCCCACTCAAACATCCAACTCCCAAAATCGCAAGAATCATTTGAGCCTCTGCCTTTTGACTTCCTTGCAATCGGCACCTTCGGTGCAGAGCTAGCCAACACAGAGGACCCCCCCACACCAAAACTTCCAACCACCTGGGAAAAACTATCGACTAACAAGGCAACTGATAATCATCCTGAGGTAATGAGCTACAAGCTTGACAAGTTTCTTGAAGCTGAAGACGAGCAAGAAATTGCCAGGAGCAGTCAAGCAAGCATTATAACCCTCAGTGGTAAGCCTACTGAAGAAGCAGCCGATACTGTAGTTAAGCCATCTTCTGCTCTCCAGAACTCTGTCTTTCTCAAGCCCGGGGAATATAAACAAGCGGCGGCGGAAGAAAGGATATCCCTGGAGGATCTCTTCAAGAGGAAATTAGAGGTGGCTAAAGATGATTATTGTGCAGGAAATTATAATGAAGTGGCAGAACAAGTACCGAGAAAGACACGGCCAAATAATCTCATGAAAAAGGCGGTGAATAAGTTCCATTGTTCATCAGCAACTACTGCTGCATCAAAGAGTCGTGCTGCTGCATTTTCAATTAAGAAAAAACTCTTCAAGGTAAGCCTATTCTCTGTTCATTTATAATGAGAGTTGATCCAAATCACAGAGAGAAGTCTTATTCTTGTTGTATAAGAAACAGCACACACTTGTACTTGTAATATTGGAAAAGGGCAAAGACTAAATATTATGCCGTCAAACCATACCAACTTCTTAACTCTCGACTCTTTATAATATCAGAATTGCTATTATTCTTTCGAATTAATATATTTAGCTGGTATTGGCGTAGATTAATTGTTGAAACCCATTCATTCTCACCAACAATGCATGAGAATACTACTAATTGATGGTGGTGTGTCTGGGCAAGCAGGCTTTGAAGATGTTTCGTAAACAGGTTCACCCAGAAGAGATGCCTGAGGATAACAATAATAGGAACATGAACATAGGTGGCAATGACGTGGCGAGCAAAGAGAAAGACAAAACCACAAAACAATGTTCAAACAATAGCTGCAAAAGTTGGGTGACAAACACTGGAGCTCGAGGGCACTGGGTTAAAACTGATTCTGATTGTAAGTTGAGATGTTTGTTTTATGATATGGATCATACATATTATCATCACGAATGCATGCATACAGTTGGGAATCCTATACGTACTAACTAACTAACTAACTTTTTATCCCTGTTTCCCCCCTCCCCTCTGATGGGCATTACAGACCTGGTCTTGGAGCTCTAGGGACAGAAACTCCTATAAAGACAAGAGCAGCCTCATTCTGTTCAGTTCTGCTCTGCTCAAGTTCAAGATGGAGTTGGCCTATCTGTATTATGTATGTATGCATGTATCTCTCTGTATGAGTGTTTGTTTTATGATATATTTATAAACAGTGACTCGTGTGGCTTACAATAATAAATACTACAGTACAGAACTACTTAAGAACATACCTTCCTGCTGGTTAAGAATAGAGGATAGTTAGGTTCCCAAGCCACACCGTTTTGATTATCGTCTAGAGGTTTACAGGTGGACTCAGAAGCAATAATATATCTATTGATGTTGTGCACAGGATATTAGAATACATCTTAATCTTTGGGAACTTATCGTCACTATAATGTATGGCACTCCCTATTCTTACTCTCGGGTATCCCAAAGGCACGGCAATGGCAATGGCAAGCAAAGGTTCGAGATTGCCTACAAAATGATAATCCTATTGAAAGAGAAAACCATCAGCAGGTTAATTACGGTGGGTGGGAGTCCGTCAGGAATGGGGTGGGGTATAGATAGATATATAGAAGAAACAAGTATGTAATTCTGGCGCAGGAGTAAAATGAACGAGTTATCCATCAAGGTTCGAAATGCATTACCTTGAACCATCCCCATGGGAGCAGAGCATTGAAAGACTTCAACCACGTGCAGTTGCTACTTGCATAGCAATGGAGTAGCTTGCTAATTAATTCATAAATGAAGCAAGCAAGCAAGGAAGCAATCCAGCTCCGCCCACCGATCGAGTGGAATGGAATGGAATGGAGTGGAGTTGAGTGCAGTGGTAGCTAATTCATGCATTTGCAGCAAGCGGCGAGAGATAATTAAAGCCGACGTATAGGAGGAGGAATGAATGAACGAATCAAATCTAATCTAGGAGATATAATCTAATCTCCTGACTCCTGAGTTTATTATGGCATCCAACGCTATGTGCTCCTCCCGCCGGCTCTATCCTATCCTAAATTCCTAATATCAGGCACCCCACCCCTTGACTTGTTGGGCAGTGTACAGTGAACAGTAGTGATCCATCCATCCATCCATCCATCCTCCTGTCTACCTCGAATACCGCGCCGCCGCAATCGCTATCCCAACCCCAACCCCGATCCCGATCCCGATCCCAATCCCTATCCCTATCCCTATCCCTATCCCCAACATCGGCATGAATTCTGTTCGGTGCCTCCAACCGACCGCGACTTCCGCGCACGATCCACTTCCCTCGACCTACATACAATTTTAAGTCTACATAACAAACTGAGACCGAGTACGAGTACGAGTACGAATATGATGAGACAAGCGGACGAGCAAACGGGAGCGCTGCAGCAGCTCTGCTCCATGATTCTTCACGTCCTCCCTTCTCCACCGCTTCCCGTTTCCTTCCCCACCCTCTCCCTCTCTTCTTCCTCCTCCTCCTCTCCTCGCCCCCCCCACATATCCGCCGCCGCCTTTGGCTTGCTTTTCCTAGGGATTTCCGTAGCTTTAATGCTCTTCGGGTCCCTAACTTTTATAATCGGCTTCTTTCTCATGCCGCTCGTCATTACGCTTGTCCTCCTCTTTTATATTGCCGCTATTGTTTCCAATTTGTCGGAATTCGCCGGCGCCATTCTCTGGCCTACCCTTGCTCCTGCTGCTCATGATTCCAACCAAATCAAAGATAAGCCAAACGTACTCCTCCTCCCCTCCTCCTGCTTCTTATTCTTGCTTCTGTTGCTTTGAAATTGTTTGGGCGCGCTTACATACATGTTTGTAACTTCTTTTTGCCCTTTCTTTCTACTAGGCATTTTTTCTTTCTTTTTTTTTGGTCTGTTCATGACATTCCGCATTTGCTTGTTCTGTTACCCATCTATCTATCTATCTATCTACATGCATGATCTGTTGGAGCGTGGAATTTGCAAGGTGAGAGACCATTTTAATTTTGTAGCCGAAAAGAGTCCCAAGTAATTAAGACCAATGAACGAAGTGCAGGACACGCGTGTGTGTGTCTGTTGCATATGTAATTGCATCTCCTAAAAAAGAAACTTCACATGAGCATGAGATAGGACGTGGGGCGACGACATTCTTGGGCACTTGTATCATCATGATCTGCTGCTAGCTAGCTAGATGCATCTGAATTCCATCTACTCCACTGTCAGTTGAGATTATTATTTATGTGGGACGCATAGCAATAGCATAACTAGGGATTAAAATGTTGTTCAATAGATAGAGAGGGGCGCTGAGCAAATTTAATAAATACCACTACTATAGAATTGCTATATATGTACTTTCGCTACTGGAATCGTTGGTTTGACTCATGCTTTTATTTCATGGATGAGTAGCGAATGATGCAATCAACTCTTTTTGTTTTTTGATCGGAATGATGCAATCAACTCTACGACAGTAACAATATGCATATGCGTTGCCGATGACCGTGAATGAAATGACACGTGATAGTGAATGCGCGTGGGGTGGGTGTCTCTACCCGACATAGACATGGAAGCCAATGGCAATAAGGATGATGGTAATGACAGCAGTGAAGATGATGGTGTGGACAAGAATGGAGAGTCCGCTTGTGTGCATGTTGAGGAACTCAATGGGCCTATGCCTTCCAGGAAGCTGGAATAAAAGTCCCGGTGATAACAGTACGAAGAATATCACAGCTATAAGCACAGGCGCCAAATCAGCTGCCATCAATTAGAGAAAGAGAAGAGAATAGAATAGAAAGTACTTTCACTGCACTATATATATTATCATACTAGAGCAGTGCTTTGTTGCTCTCTCTTCTCCTTTATTTGCTCTGCTCTGCTCTGCTCCTCCTTATAACTCAGCTAACCTGTCAAAGGGTACTGGCGTAGATGCAGATGTAGAGGATAAGGAGAGCATATTAGTACTTGTATTTTCCCACATCTGCCCAACCCCTGCCGCCCGCACCTACCAAAGACAAACCAACTAGTATTATATTATATCGACCTTTAACCTTATTCCCCGGGCAAGAAATGAAACACGTTGTTTGTTTGTAACACAAACATACAAGTACAGTTATTATTATTATTATTATAACAAGGAGGTAGCTTGTGTATGGAAAAGGTAATATGCCATCCATTACATCACATAATAACGTATAAGTAATAGTAGTATAATATATAATCTTTACCCTCCTCCTGAGTTGGGCACTTGACCTCCTTATCTAAGTTTAGCATTTATCCCCGTCCCGACAGCACACTCTTCCTGAAGGAAGCTGAAGTTGAACTAGTACCAGAGAGAGAGAGAGAGAGAGAGAGAGAGAAGGACTGAGAGATGTATGCCTTCATTCCCTCGCCTCGCCCAGCTCACCTGCAGGCATGCTAGGCCGGATAGATAGATAGATAGATAGATGGATTGGCGACATTTGGGATTGGGAGAGGGGTGGACGGCGGGATCATCGTCGTCGTCTTCGTCATCACCATCATCAGGTGCAGGTGCAGGTGCCGACTGGGGACCGGTGGCGGTGGCGGTGGCGATGTTCATCCTGCTGTCGCCGGGTTTGCTCTTCCAGATACCTGCGAGGAGCAGGTTTATTGAGTTTGGCAACCTCTGCACCAGCGCCATCTCCATCCTGGTGCATGCGCTCCTCTACCTGGCTGTTTACACCATCCTCGTTATTGCCGTCGGGGTTCACATCCACTTCCGTTAATTATCATATCATATATCCATTCCCATGTATAGATTATAGTTATTCATATCCGTCCACCAGCATATACATGCATGTAGCAATCAGATACGCGCGCGACCTGTACATCGGCTCTTAACTTGTACTCTATATTGGAGTATATAGTACTAGTACTGGTATGGTCATTATATATGTATACATCTCTTCATTATATATATTGTTCAAGTCTATTATTAATGTATTTATCACTGGCATCTTTCTTTCCTTGTTTCTTTTTTTCTTTCTTTCTTTCTTTTAGCACGCAAACACAAACAAACCCCCACCCTCACCAGAAAAAACAAAAAGAAAAAGCATTAAAGAGCGGTTGAGCATAATATAGTATTCCTTCTGATCCGATCCAGAGCATCGATGGGCAGTAGCTTTGCTTTTAGTTTTGGGGGGATTCTGAAGGAAGGCACACCACACCACACCACATATATAGATAGATATATACACACTCCAGTAAGGAAGCGGAAGCGAAATCGAAATCCAAGGATGAATGACTATGGCGGCGTGATGATAGCGACGGTGCTGTTCGTATTCCTGTCCCCAGGGTTCGTGATCCAGCTCCCCGGAAGGGACCGCCCCGTCGATTTCCTCAACATGAAGACCAGCATAGCTGCACTCCTCCTCCACGCTGTCCTCTACGGTTTGCTTCTCGTCCTCTTCCTCGTCGTCCTCAATATACACATATATGCCTAGCCAGACGATATATATATAAATAAATTGATAATGCCTAGTATTTCTATACTGCTTAAGCTTCGGTCTTAATTGGTATCATCAAGTCTCGATACGGTTGTATATATGAGATCCCATTCCCATTTATGTAATGGCCCTGCCCCTAGCTTGCTCGAAATTAAAGTAAGTTACTGAGCATGGCGGCTTCTTGATAGCGCGGAGGTGGTGTCATCAGTCCTGTAATACTAGTGCTCGACCACAAATGAATACCTAATAATTCAATCCAGCCCATTGGAACCCAGCCCAGCCCAGCGGTAGCTGTGTAAATGTATTATTGTTTAGACAAATGCCCCCAATTCCGTCCACCCATCCATCCCATCTCTATGATCAGATCAGATCAGCTCGATAATGATGATGATTTGTGCGGCTTGATATATAATTAATTATTACACATCATATTATAATAATACTAATAATAATACGAGAGAGAGAGAGAGAGAGAGAGAGAGAGAGAAAAAAGACAATAATAATCACTCAACGTAACACCAAAGTAAATGAATAATTAAGGTCGTAAATTGTGTTGTAAGGCGGCTGGCCGACAAAGACCTGAACAAATAATAGTAAATTGGTAAGCACGTGAAAGGTGCAGGTGCAGCCGCCCAGCCTGGCCGGCATCTTCTTCTTAATTTGTAGTAGTAGTAGTGAAAGCGCATATATATATATATATATATAATATTTCAAATTTAGAAACAATCACCGAATCAATTGCAATACTATTAAATACAGAATAGAGTACATAGGAACACGTGGAAAAACAAAACAAATTTATGGATTATTATATTATTTAAAGAGAGAGACAGAGAGAAGAAGAAGAGGGTGATGGTATGACATGGTATGGTATGGTATGGTATGTGTGAGGGAGGGGGTATTAGGGTTTGGGTATGCATTACAGATAGAGAGACAGAGAGTGTTGTATGTAGAGAACAAACAAGGAGAGGATTAACGCACGCATGCTCAAGGTACATACAAACAAAGAGAGGATTAACTCACGCATGCTCAAGGTGTGCTGCTGCTGTAGCCTGTAGAGGAAATTGAGAGTACGTACTTCATATAATATCTACGTGCAAGGCAAACTCAGCACAGCACAGCAGGGATATAGTACAACGCATACACAACTCAGCAGAGGCAGAGCCCGACCCGACCCACAACAGATAAGGTGTGAATGATAATGGTACGGGTTGATTGTGCACTCCACAGTTCAACTTTGTACGGCGCGACTCACTCAGTAGTCATGCATTTATTTAGGGTCGGTTTATATAGTTATTTTCTATATTTTTTAAAATATAATATTTGTTAATATCATATCTTATATATATTTTTTATTTATAAAATATTAGTCTTTTTCCTATTTCAAATCTTTTTAAAAGTCCAAAAGTCAGAGTCTAAAACGGAACATTAACCTTATTTGTTCCATTGCATTATTTCTCTCCTCTCCTCTAATTTATTTGGGCTGTTGCAACTTACCATGAATTTAATCCTAAGTCCAGGATCTACCGTGTTGTCATAATTGATATAAAAATAAAAAAGCAAATTAGATCTAACATTATTTCATTAGTATAGTCGAATTCGAATATGCAAATAATGGAGAGTTTTGTATTCTTCAAGCCTATGGCGCAACCTCCCCTGAGAAAACTGCTAGGATTTCTGCCGTTACTCCCACGATGTAATGCCCCGATTTCGGAATGTATAAAATAATATTATTATAGCAAATAAATATTTGACAATAGTAATGGAATCAAGAAACTAATATTTTGGGATAAATTATATTCCAATTTTGTATATTAGTTATAATTAAATAGACTGTTAAATGGATAAATATCGATAAAATTAAAAATAAATATAAATATAAATATAATATATAATATATAATATAATATATATAATAATAATATAGTAGATGATGATAAGAACCTTATCATCATCGTTAATAACAATAAAGTTGGTATCAGAGCCTAGGTTTGATAGATTTTGGCTCTTTGAATTAAAAAGGTTTTGAAAATAATAATGATATTGAATTGGTTTGGTGAGGTTTGGGTTTTGCGGGTGCATTCATGTTAATGTGATCTATCTTTTATTGTTATGCTTGGTTTAGCTGTGTGCTGAATTGATATTGAATCAGGAAAAATTGGGGGCAGTATGTCGAATTCTCGAGGTGGTGGTGTACGTAGGGCTATTCAAGGCCCAGAGTTTGATCCTTCGTCTGATGAGTCACAGTATCCTGTGCCAGCGCATGTACCAACAGAGGCACCTAGTCAGGATTTCTTTCGGCAGTTTATGGCCGCGATGATGCCTCAACAGAGGAGTTTCATTGATGCTGTGATGCGGCATAACCCACCAACATATTCTGGTTCAGTGGAGCCAGGAGTCCTTGAGTTTTGGGTTGAAAAGATGGAAAAGATATTTCGTGTTGTTCAGGTTCCGCCAGATCAACGAGTTAATATTGGAGCCTATTTCTTGGAAGGCCGAGCAAATCGGTGGTGGTTAGGTGAAGAAGCTGCAGGTGTAGACCAAGTGGATATGACTTGGGATGAATTTAAAGCAAAGTTAAAGGCTAGGTTTATACCGTCGCATATTCGAAAAGCGAAGAAGCAAGAATTGCTGGACTTAAAGCAGGGCTCGATGTCAGTTGAGGATTATTTTGTGAAGTTTAATGAGTTGGAGATGTATGTTCCTGACTACTTTTCCTGTGAGCGAGACAGAATTGACCATTTTGTAGACGGGTTGCAACACAGAATTCAAGAAGCTTTAGCGGTGTTGGATATCAGTTCATTGTATGAGGCTTACGAGCGTGCTGCCCGATTTTATCAGAAGCAGGAAGTCAGACAAAAGGAGAGTGAGAAGGAAATAGGTTATCAACATCAGGTTCGAGATAAGGGAAAAGCTAAAGTGGAGGATGAGCCCAAGGGTAAAAAGAAATGGTGGCAAATGTTCAGGTCTGGGCCATCGTATAAGGGGATTTCGATTAATGAACCGAGTCAGGAGAGGTCTCAACAATCGGGGGCTGTTTGTCGGCGTTGTGGAACAAGCCACCCAGGTACTCGTTGTGATAAAGTTCCATTGACATGTTTTAAATGTGGTGGTAGTGGTCACATTGCCAGGTTATGTCCAAGTGTGGTAACTGCAAGGGAGTTTCCAGAACCGAGGTTTAGGCCATGGCAGCCGCCGTCTTCGCAGTCACAAGGGAGAGGATTAGGATCATCTTGGCGAGGGGGACGAAGTCAGTCACGTTTTTCATCTAGGCAGCCAGGCAGAGGACCTGACCAGCGTGGACGAATAAATGTTCTTACCCAAGCAGAAGCTGATTATCATCCAGGTGAGGTTTTAACGGGTAGATTTCTGGTTTGCGGTTTTCCTGCTCTTGTGTTATTCGATTCGGGTGCAACGTTCTCGTTCATATCTAAGCGTCTAGTTAGACGATTGGGTCTGAATTCATCAGTAGAAGTGGTAGTGGAAGTTTTACTTCCATCAGGAGAAGTGTTGGAATGCCGAGAGCTTTATATGCAGATTCCGGTTAGTATTGAAGGGGTTGATTTTGTTACTAACTTGTTGGGCATCAAGCTATCCGAGTTCGATGTAATATTGGGGATGGATTGGTTAGTGGCATATCAAGCTCAATTTGATTGTCGAAAAAGATCAATTTCGCTGGTTGGAGCGATGGGCGAACAGGTGGATTATGCAGGATCTGCCAGACAACCTTCTATGAAGGTAATTTCATCCCTATCATTTCAATCATTTATTCGTAAGGGGTTTCCAGTATATCTGTGTGAGGTAAGAGATTTGACGCAAGGGGAGCAGCGATTGCAAGATATTCCTGTAGTCCGAAATTTTCCTGATGTATTTCCTGATGACATTCCGGGTATGCCACCAGCTCGTGAGGTGGATTTTACTATTGATATTGTGCCGGGTGCTGAGCCAGTATCAAGGGCTCCATACCGGATGGCACCTTTAGAACTAGCTGAACTTAAATTGCAACTACAGGAATTGCTAGATAAGGGTTACATTCGGCCTAGTACATCGCCTTGGGGAGCTCCAGTTTTATTTGTGAAAAAGAAGGATGGAAGTTTGAGGTTATGTATTGACTACCGTGGACTGAACAAAGTCACGGTGAAGAACAAATATCCTCTTCCGAGGATTGATGATCTATTTGATCAACTGAGAGGTGCAACTATATTCTCAAAGATTGACTTGAGATCTGGATATCATCAGCTAAGGATTGCAGAGCATGACATTCCGAAGACAGCTTTTCGGACTAGATACGGGCATTATGAATTCACGGTTATGTCCTTTGGGTTGACTAACGCCCCGGCTGCGTTTATGGAGTTGATGAATAGAATTTTTCAACCATACCTCGATCAGTTTGTGGTGGTATTTATTGACGATATCTTGGTCTATTCCCCAGATAAAAAGACGCATGCAAAA